CAAATAAGAGCATTCGAATATAACATTGCAAATTTCACATCAAATACAAATCATAGTATTTCATTTAGTAAGGGTGATGAAAAGACCTTACCAAATCATGGATCAAATGTGGTATGAGAAACCTCCAAAGGTTCACTTGTCCTAAGAAATGTGCTGTATTCCATTTAAACTTGAGAATAACCCAAACAAATCCCTTCAGCATTAGCTGTACTTTGCTTTGGGTTTAGAGTTTAACACTAACATAGCTGCTAAATGTAAAAAAACAAAAACATTATGTAAACAATGTGAAAATGCAACCTGTGTTTTAACATGTTTACACTTTAGAAATGTTTTCAGAGAATTAATGATTTGAGATGTTCTGCATGTCATGTTCGGAAAAATGTAAAATCTATACAACAAAAGTAATTCATAACAAATGTAAAAGTAATCGTCTTGCATACAAGTTGGGTTTCATATACATATCATTTTTAATTATCTAGATTGGCATCACTTTATGTGTTTTTTGGTGTTGTCTCAGTTTTACCAACACTTTGAAAGTAAGCCTGCACACATTTGAATTGGAAATGAACATGAACTGTGTTGTTGAAGTTGATATACTGCAGTATTCATGCAATATAATTGTATGAAGGAACTTTAAGTGTACATTTGATCTCCACAGGTGGTCACTGGGCACACATGTCCATTAAGTAATATCCTCATTGAATTTCAATGGATCTTGGCAAACTGTGCCCTCAAAGAATAAATAAAGCAGATACAACATTGTTATGTCTCTATAAATAAAGAAAACATTTAAATGTTTGCGCTGGTCGCAGCCACCTTTTCAAACTGTCCTGCAAAGAAAAACAGATAAACAATGCAGAGCTTTGACTGGCTGTTAGACTGACAGGTGATGTTGTCAAGACAACGCTTACTTATAAAAGGTGGTGTTAAGAAGAATGGTGAATCATTCCTCAAAGTTGTAGAGGGAACCTTCATTGTTAAATGAAGTCAGATCACAGCGGGGAGATGTAAGTAATGTGTCTCATGTATCTATTCATCATGCCTTTAACTGCAAATATTATTTGTTTCTGATATATTCATTGTGATGTTTGATTTGTGGCTTTGTTGCAGGCTTTAACATGATTATTTAAGTTATTATTTTTTCAAAATAAACAGGCTTCAACATTCAGGACTTGTTCATAATGTTTATTAAGGATGGGTGAGATTGTGTGCCATGCTTTTACAGACGCTGCATGAAGCTGCGGTCATGAATGACACCACAGAAGTAACCCAGCAGATGCAGTTTCACGTGCCTGTTAAAGCTGTGCTCTCAATGCTGCCATGTCTTTTCTTTCTCTACGTAAACGCTGTCATGTTGTTCGCCTTGTTGAGCAAGCCTCTCCTCCTGGAAACCCCCCGTTATATCCTGTTTGGTCATTTACTTTTGTCTGAATCTCTGCAGCTTTTAATGACCATGTTGCTGTACATCTTTGCTGTGACCATGGTCAGAATGATGAGCTACATTTGTATTATTCTCACAATATTTGCAACCTTCACTTTTAAAATATCCCCCTTAAACCTGGCTGTGATGTCTTTGGAGAGATATGTTGCCATTTGTTTTCCACTGAGGCATGCAGATATTGTAACCACCAGGACGACAGGAGTGGCCATCGCTGTGATGTGGACCGTGGCCTCTTTAGACTCCTTCACACAGCTTTTTCTGTTTGTCAGTGTAGAGAATACAAACTACACTGTGCCGAGGTTTTGCCACAGACACCTCTACCGTCAACAACTTTATTCGAATACAAACAATGCCTTCATCATTGTGTTATTTACATGTGTAATTATTATCATCATCTACACTTTTTTTGCTATCATGATCACTGTGAGGTCAGCCTCTGCCTCTTCTTCGGGTTCTACTGAGAGTAAAGGCAGTAAAGCCTATAAAACAGTGCTGTTGCATCTGCTGCAGGTGTTTCTGTGTCTCACCTCCACTGTGTTTAATACGATAAACTCAGACAGCATGTGGAAGAGTAATCTCACCCTCGCCACAAATGTCCAGTATGCTCTCTTTTTATGCCTTATCATTTTCCCTAAGTTTTTGAGCCCACTCATATATGGCCTGAGAGATCAAACCTTCAGACATGTCTTTAAATACTATTTCACCTTTGGCTTCAAAATCACCGCTAAGACATTTCCTACGGTATGAGATCAGACACAGTAATCATGTGGGTCTGTTTTTGCTTACAATAATGTTGAGTATAAATACTGACTTGTCTTTGCAGGAAATACTTTTTTTTCTTTGTGTGATTTACAGTACATGAGAAAATGTATGATAAATTGTATCTCAGATTTAGGTCAGAATTTAAAATGCTATCAAACGCATGTGATCATAATAAAAAGCTGACAGAAATGACAATAATCCATTGTCAGAAATGATGAGTATCTAGACTGTTTCGCTATACTAAATAAACAAATAAACACAACTTATATATAACGCTCTCAATGACATGTATGTGATATAATAATGTCTAAATATTGTAAAGTCTTTTCTTCTGATATTTCACCTAATAATGATGATTAAATCGTAAATTGTAAATGTAAGATTTCCTCAAGAATTAACTAAGATGCTGATTAACAACATATGAAAAGCATATAAATACAACATTTTGAATTTCACATGAAATACATCTAATCAACGTTTAGTATTTCCTTTAGTAAGGCTGATGAAAAGACCTTATCATGGAGATAATATGGTAATTATTTATGAGCTGCCTAAAATATTGTAAAACACAATATTAACTAATAATGATCAAACTGAAAGTCAATAATTACAAATAGATACTGTTAAGTTCTAAGCTGTTGTTTCAAAGAGGGCAAGACACATTTGAAAAGCATGATGCCACATGTAAGTCTGAACGTGGATGTAAAGACCTCATTCTTTCAGCCAGCAGATGTCACTTTTGGTCTGTAACTGCAGACTTTTATATCAGTCTTTAAATCACCTGAGGAAACTTGTGTGAGACTTTGAAAATCAAGGATGTTCAGTAACTTTGACATTATGATGAAATTCCTGTCTCCTCCGCTTTCTCACAGTCACAATGGAGGTATGTGTGGGAGAAAGAATAGAGACAGAAAACAGAGAGAGACCAATTTATGTGGGTAAACAGGGAGGGAGGTGCTGACCCGCAGAATAAAAGAAGCGTCTGAGCAGGAGGTGGACTAATTTAACCGATCTTTACTCCGGCACAATCCTGAAGCCCTCTCAATACCTCTCTGGCCTTCATGAAAGAGCACTTGAAGGGGTGAAAAACATTCCTGAGAGAGAAGTACCTGGTGACGGAGAGCAGCTTTAGTTTAGAGAGAGCAGAAGCGAGCAGAAAAGAAGGGTTGTTATCATGATCACAAAATACTTCACATCATCCACATAGAACATGGATTCTGTGGCTTTGTGTGAATGTCTACTTTCATTAACTCAGTTTTACTTTTTGGTCACACACAGGTTAAGTCTTTCCTCTGAGTTGTGCATGGTGTTTCAATAGGCTACTGTGCTCACAGGGAGTGCATTCAGAAAAGACAATTATGTATGAGTCAAATACATGAACAAAGGAAGGTACAGAAACTTAGCTCAGTGTTCCTTGCTAATCAACTGAGATGTTATAAGAAAAGCCCACAGACTTTTCCAGACAACGTTTAAATTATGATTTAGTGTACTTTTTGGGCCATATGTAATTAAAAATATGTTGTATTTTATTAGAAAACGTTATATCAAGGAAAATCAAATCAGAGAGTAATACATTACAAAGGGAAAGTCTAAGGGTTGTGAAAAAGTCAGCGGGAAAGTTTCCAAATGGCTTTCATTTTAGAAGAAGCCCCTAAATTGAATTATGCATTATTATTATTATTATTATTATTTGTTTAGCCTGCACTTCTACTTCGTCATAAATGAGCTGCCAAAGCAACATATAGCTTTCATGTTGATCCATTGTAGCCTACTCAAAGCAAAATGTTCTGAATGCATTTAAGAACAATGAGAATATTCATTGCACTCATTTTACCCACTTTAAGATAGATTTAGACAAATAAAATAGAATAAAGCAGGCTTGCGTGGTGCACACAAACGCTTGCTCTATAGAGTTGAGATGAATGGGATAGTGGGAGAGTAATTGTATCCCTGGTGGCTCTCCAGAAGACAGCACTGAGACTCAAATGAAAGCACTGACCTGGTTAGCTCTCTGTTAGCAGAAAGGGGTGCTGGCCCCCCAACACCCATCCTATCGCACCCACACACATCATTCACAAAGATGAACTTGTTGACTGACTATAAGCAACTATACATCTTTTCATTTGGCAGCCTTATGCAGCCAGATAATGTTGTAGAATTGTGACACAACTATTGTTTCAAATAGCGAAATTGTGATAATAGGCGTGGTCTGTATGACAAAAGCCTGCATGGTTGGACAATTAAATCTATTGGCCGGACTGCCTCATTTGGGCCAAGCAGTCAATACAAATGTTTTTCTACAATTCATAGTTAAAGAGTTATACGAGAAAACGTTGCTTTTGAAATGAACACTTGATGGCCTCATTTGCATCAAAAATGAATTAGTTCTTCTTTAATTAACCGGCCTAACTAATTTAATTGAAAATTGTTGAATCATTTCAGGACCTCCTTCTATCTAGCAGTAAGAGAAACAATTAAAACAGACCTAATACATTTGCTTTATGGCAGCGATAAAACCTCGTAGATGTATAGTCATTGAGTAACCGTAAAAGACAGCGAAGAATAAAGTGATTTGATCAATCAATGTGTGTCGGGTTATCACAGAGATGACGTAATGTGTATACTAATGGATTATTCCTCCAGAGGGATGTTGCTGTAGGATCTCGACAAATGACCGCTTACTTCTATTGTCAGGTGAGCTCGCGGTCTCCCCGCTCCGCTCTTTGCAGATGGTACAGTCCACATGCAGTTCGGAGTTGTTGCTGAGGAGGTTCCACTGTTCAGCACATAGGCTACCGTTAAATTGGCATGCAGCCTACGCTTGGATCCTGTAGCAGGAGACTGCACTGCTTTTGAAAATGTTACCGTCTTATTACCGGAGTTTCCTTGGACAGAGGGGCAGGGTTGCGCTGTTTTACCTTTTGTGCAGTATTACAGGTGAGTAAGGAATCTTGTATATCAGTTTTGTTTGTTCCACTAACGTTACCCAGAAGTTCCATGGAAGAGCCGCGCATCATGCAGGAATCTCAGCAAACGACCCGGCTAAACTATCAACCTCCGCGTGCTTTAAGCGTTGGTCATTTGCAAGTTGAGCAAGTTGAGCAGGTGTCATTAAATAACCAAATGAAACTTGGTTGCAAGTTCACTGAAACGCTTCGGAGTGGGTAGCTAGCCAGCGCCACCAGTGATGGTGCGACCCGAGGCTGCCATAGAAACAGTCCATGGAAACCGTCGAGGAGCACTGATATTCAGTTATCATTGCTCCCTTATACCGTCACAGAGCATACACTTCGGTCATTGCCGATTCACTGGCATCCATATTAGCTCACGAAGCCTTTGCTACTGAAGTACTATGTTATGTGTCACGACAGCTGAATATTACAAAATGTTTAGGAACTTGCATTTGAGTCAATAGAAGACAACACTAAATGCCAGCAGCCCTCAGGTCGGGCTGAGGGTCAGCCGCCATGTGCCCGCTGTGGAGCCTAGCTCAGTATGGTTTAATCAAAGGGTGGGCAATTTGACTAACTCCACCCTGAAGCACGCCAACTTTGTGCCCAGTGCTTTGGTGCTGCTGTAAAAAAAACTCATAATATATGCAGCTCAAACTGTTTAGCTCCAACTCTGTTTCATAAATATCATTATAACTTCTCAATAGTTGTCACTCATTGTGTTAACTAGAAGCTAGTCTGGCTGAATGTGGCATTGCCTGTGAGTTGTATTGCCCACAGCAAGTGTTGTGCAAGGAATAGGCTAAATATCCCTTGTTTGAGAAAATGATATTCATAAACTTTGCTGTTCTCAGAGACAATCCATACTTTGTGTCCTGCACTTGCAGACAATTTAAACAAGACCAGAAGTTACACTTTTTCATTCCACATTTCCTTGCTTTAACTGAAAGTAGTATAATTACTCTTAATATGTTAACACTCACTTATTCTAACTAACAATTGTCCAACTCAGTTGGCTTTATTATAGAAATAACCCTGAAACATGTAATATATTGAATAGCAAAATGGGCTTCATACTTTCAGACATTATCACACCAGAGCAGCATTGTACCTCATTGTCTCATCAGTAGCTCTATCCATTGCATAGAAAAGAAGTGGTTGTATTTCAAAATCCAGGATACTGAAGTACCCAGCACTATACCACAGCTTCAGGTTGTAGTGGCCACTTTCTGCCACTGGACAATTGCACAATAAAGAAATTACTTGGATAACTAAACAGATTTTTGAAGTTTGCTAAGCTCTGCTTTTTTTTGCTGCTTCCACTATAATGCTAATATAATACAAACGATCTTAATCCATAGATAGCCCTACTGGACGGTTTGCCAAGAGGAGAAGCTAGGGGCTACAATACTACGACTGAACCCACCAACGCATGTGTTACTCTTTGGTTCAGTACCTTGATGTAGGATACAATCGGAGTGAGCTTTTACATTATTAATGCACTGCATCCTCAGGATATTAACGTTAATTCCTAAACCGATGGTTTTCTTTCTTCAGAGAGTTAATGTTTAGGAGCATAGATATGTGCGCTTTTGTCTAGCTTTCCTTTAAGTCTGAATCCAATTTCAAAGAGGGGTTTGACCTTGTGCCTTTTTTTAATGCACAATAAATGCATTCACTCCCATTTAATTATGTTTAGACTTTGAAGGAGACAAACACACTTTTCTAAACATTTAATGATTAATCTTATTTCGCCTCAGATTTAATGTGTATAAACGTGCATGCCTTTAAAACGTAACCAATTAGCTAGCACAGGATGAAACACTGAGTTTATTCTCCAGATCGATACTCTCGGCACTGATCACATTACACAGCCATTCAATTTGATGGTAATGTACAACAAACAACCATATTCAATTAACCTGTTAACTAGTATTTGGATTTATTTTCCATGTATGAAAGTTTTAGACCTTAAGTTTGTTCAGGTAATATCCTTCTTTATACTGGCTACCTGGTATGGGTTGCTTGGTGGTTTCTTGTGACACTAACATACACCAAACATCTTACATTTCCATGTAGAAGAGAAAGCTATAGTGTTCTTAGAATTTAGCGTTGCTACCCTTGGCAGCTAGATAGTTATGCGTGTTGCATCACCCATGTGCACGTGCACATCTGTGCAGCTTAATCAAACCAGTTAGAAAATGTGTATCTGCACGAAGGATGGGTCAAATGCAGGGAAACCGTTTCATTACTAGTACCTGTACTATGTAATGACAATAAAAGTTCCACAAAAAAAAAGTGGACTTGAAGGCGCCGATCATTCAACCCTTCCCTGTCCTGCTCTGCACTTACACCTTACACCTCACCATTTAAGTTCTGAGTTCCACTTTTAACAAGACGAGCTGCCCTCTGGCAAGACACACAAATTAATACACTTGCTTCCTCATAAGTGGTGCATGTGAAGGTAATATTGACTAAAGTGAGAACGAGTAGCAGAGTGTCCCCAGGGAGCAATGTGTCCTTGATGCCAGGATATCTATAATCTGTTTTCTACTGAGTGTGGGTGTCGGTGTGGGTGTGTGTCATTGTGTTGCTTTAGCAAACTAAACTCAAAGTGTCTACGGAAGCTGCTCTCTTTTAGGTTCGAAGGATGGCAATTATTTTCTTTTTTTGTCTCTGAAAGAACAAGAAGAAATAAAACATTCCTATAGCTATGTAAAGAAAGGCTGCGTATAAGATCAGATAGACTTTGCCCTTTATTCTCATCACATTTTTATTCTGAGTTGGAGAAAACGAGGGCACGTTATGTAAGGTTGTCGTCATGTCACCAATAAAAATGTCATACAGACGCTATACCTCCTTCCATTACATATTCAGTGCAGGGAAAATGCTGCTCTCTCGACTCTTTGCTGTTATTGCCATCTCGCCTTATCATGACAAATACATAAGTCGTAAAATCGGTTTACTACTTGAGGCAGAGGCTCACTTACAGTATATGTTACAGTAGCTGCTGTCTGGGTTATGGCATTTAATACATACTATAAAAACACTTTTTGTAGAGGAAATGAAAATACTATGCAGTATGCTTTAATTCATATAGTGACAATCTTTTGCTGCGTGTCTGTTTCAACTTGTGTTTATCTTCGTTTCCTCATTAATGGTTTTTACGAGCGCCTGTTAAGTACCTTGTCATCGACCAGTATATATACAGTATGTGCGTTAATGTACCAGTATATTCAAATCTGATTTACTCCATCACCTGACTTCATTATTTGTATGGAGGATACTCCGTATGGTGGGGGGGGGGGCACTAGCAAACGTACACTCGGTACAGTTTCACTCCTCTTTGGGGGGAGTTGTAAACTGAGTGTGATGCAGCATGTGAGGTATGGGAATATTCTTTAGAAAGGAAAGCCTCCATATCTTTGGGAATTAAAACAATTGATTTATGATTTAACGTTAAATGGGTCCCTATAAGGTGTAGTCTTAGTTTGGTTTTAGACTTGCTTCAGATGACGGTCAGCACTGCTCCACAAGCAACTTAACAGCAATGATCAACCCCCAGGAACATGTCATTTCAAACGATTACTAACTTATGTGAGTTAACCATTGAAGACATGTGATGCTTTTTCTAACGGAATCAGAAATTGCAATTATTTTTTTTTTAACCCAAATAGTTTCTTAACCCAGATTCTTCACTCTGATCATATCCGCTGCATGATTATTAATGTAGGATGCCACAGCTAATCAAGAAGTCTTTACATCAATCTGTTATGTTAAAAAAGTAATTCCTCCTGCATTAAAGACTAACTGTATTGAATTCACCGGTAGAAATGAACGTATTTAATCGTTAAGTGAGCTTGAATAGTTTTTCCTGCTTTTTTTTTTTAGTCTGCCTTAAAACAATACCAAGGCTTATATGTACATTTAACAGTTTTTTGATTGCTTCCTTTAGTGTTTCCAATATTGAGACGTTGTACAACATTCCCAGTTCTTTTTGAGTGCAGAAATCCGCTGCCAAGTGTATTTGCTTTAGCAGTCTGAGCCAAACCGAGAAGAGTCTTTTAAACACAGAATACCCTCTTCATGTTTCCGCTCTGACACTGTGAAACACAGCAGGGATTTCAGGACTTTGTTACCCACTTTATTTTACTAACTCAGATTGCTGAACTCTTATATTAGTCTGTGTTAAAGTATGGAATGCATTTTTGCACAGAATGAGGACTGTGGATTTTGCCCCATCACTAGAAAGCAGACGTGCATGTGTTGGTTATTCGATTTGAAAAAAACCTGCAACGCCCTAAATAGCACAAAAAAATATGAATAGTGCTTCTCCAGCTGTACATCTCCCTTCTACTGCCCTTTCTTTGTATGAGCAATATGATGACGTAGTATACCTACTCTGCAAAAAAAGTGCTATCTAGATTTGACATTCACTATTGATCATTCGGCTTATATTGTACAGCCCCTAACATATTGTGTGTGTCGATCATTTGCAACAATATCATTTACTATATGTATTCCCCAATTTGATAAATGACTTTTAATTGGTTAAGCTGTCACATTGTTTTTATAATGTATGAAATTATTATATACACATTTGGAGAAAATGAGAAGTACTGATGTACTGTATAAGTCTAGTGTTTTCACAATTTCAAACTTTATTGTAATGTCAGAGAAGAAGTCAAAAATAGACTTTTGTACATCATACTTTAGGGAAATGGAAATCTACAGTACTAATATTTGAGGACATGGACTTTTGAGAGGGAGATTGGCCGGAGACTGAGCTGTTTTTGGCAAAACAACAATAGAATATTTGCAGTCAGTTGCCAAGCAGCGCAGAAGGTTTTGATTTATGATGATGTCTTCCTGCTGGCAGCTTGGCGCAATTAGTGAGCTTTGGCAGTTTAGCAGTGCTATATTGTCTTTTCTAAATCAGTAATGTAATTCCTCTGTGTTTTTGTTTACTGGAATCCTGGTGATAAATTTCCTCTCACTTGTGTTTCATACGTGACTTTGCTCTCGGCTCTCCTCACTCGCAGCCCTCTTTTTTCTTCTCTCAGCGATGATGTCATTGTCGTGTTTGCATATCTCTTCCCATTTTTTCTGGCGGGATCAGTGTGTTCTCTCTTTATTTCCCTTTGACGTTCTTCAGCACGACGAAAAGCTCTCTGCTTTTCAGACATGCCACACTTCTGTCAGGTGCAGGTGACAGAGTTGGGGTAGTTATATTTGGACAAAGGACATACAGACAGGCTGCTTTCAATTCCTGAATTCAGGTCAGGAGAAGGAGAGCTAAAGAGACAAAACAAATTCTCAGTCAGCTGTGTGTTATTTGTCGAAAAAACCCAACGCCTGCTGTGGCGGTATCAAGCTTTGATTCCAGACTGATGGCAATAGATGAACTTGTTTTAAAGACTGACGTAAGAGGTAACACTGAAAATACTCTTCCCTTACTGGGGCTGTCATGGTGTTCTGGATTGGTTCTTGATTTTCACTCTGATAATCCTTTGTGACATTTTTAAAAGAAAAGGTAACGTCTTCCATGAAGTAGATTAAAGCAATTTCATTCTTGTCAACCAGAAAAGCTAAATTGTCTGTCATATAAGGAATGTTTTGCATATATTTAACGTTAAGTTCTTAAAGGTTTGGACACAAGTTCAAGGAGGCCCGATGGAACGTCTTTAAATGTGTTCAGCTCTACTTCATAACCCAAATATTTGCAATTTATAATTTAATATAAAATAGTGGGTAAAAAGGTTAGTTGATCAACAGAAAAAGGCGGCGACAATTTCCATAACTTATTGTTTAAATCATTTTTGATCAGAAATTACTGGTGCAATGAGTGAGCTGAATATTTAAAGGAGAGGTGTCATGCTTTTCCGGTTATTACCCGTCCCCTTGTGTGTTATGAAGGTTTTTATGCATGTAAACGGTGTGCAGAGTCAAAACCCTCAAAGTACACCCTATAGCGAGTAAAACTCTAACACAGAAAATACCTCCCCAAAATGCCTCGTTGGAGATACGTCACTGCCCATTTGAGTCTTCCATTTCGTTCCGGGTACGGCATGTTGTCAAGCGGTACCCGGAACGAAATGGACCAATCCCGAAGAGCCGTCACGTTACGTCCGCGGAGCCGTTACGTTAAGCCCCCGCTGATTGGTCCAAATGTACCGATCCACGGACTTCCTCACACACACATCTGTGTGCAGGGACCAGGCAGCTCAGCTGATTTCTCCTCCCTGGCTGCAGGCTGATAACAGACAGTTGGGATCGCGGCGAAATTCTCTCTGCAGACCCATTTTCACAGCGTTTATCAACCTTTTTCTTACTCAATATCAAGCCACACTTATTGTTTTTACTTCGGATGTGAGTTTGTGTGTGCTCAGGATGAGTTTGGCTGTGTTTCGCTATGTATCCTAAACAAGGAAACAACACCTCCACGGAGCTCAGCGCGATTCACAACGTCCCGACCAATCAGAGCACACTGTGCTCACAGGGAGGGTGGGGGCTGGAGCTTTGGGAGCTACAACGAGCCGTTAAAGGCAGATAGTGAAATTCAGTGAATACAAGTAGTTTTACAGAGATGCTGTATGAGAAACCAATGTGAGTTTGGAAAAATGCACAGTATAAATCTATTCTAGTAGACCTCAACAATGGAATTATGATCAGTGGAAATGGCCATGACACCTCTCCTTTAAGACATATTTATAAATCCTGTGTTTTTTTGGTTTGTTTTTTTAATGAAGTTTTCCCATTTTTACTTGATTATAATGTTCGATTTCTGAATTTAAAGGATGGGATCTCAATAAGTATGATTTTAAATAACACTTCTAGTTGAGTTAGAAAGAATATGCCTAAGAAAACTAGTAGTGATGCACTTTAAAGAAGCTTTAACAATTAAAGGTGTAGTGTACGATAAGTGCTTTCAACTTCCTGTTTGCAAATGAACATGGTTGTTTCCTGTGTCTGTGGCAGGTGTTTGGGGCAGTCAGGTGATGGTGCCTAAGAGGGTGAACGCTGTGCTGGGGAAGAATGTGACGTTGGAGTGCAAGGTGGAGGTGGGCACCAACCTTACTCTGACTCAGAGTTCCTGGGAGCGTCATCTGCCTTCAGGCTCCATCACGGTGGCTGTCTACAACCCACGGTACGGCATCTCCATCCCTCCGGAGTACATCCATCGCTTGTTCTTCCGCTCACCCTCCTCTCATGATGCCACCATCGTCGTGGGAAACGTGGGCTTCTCTGACGTGGGGAAGTACACCTGTAAGGTCGCCACGTTTCCTCTGGGAAACACTCAAGCCTCCACCACTGTCAATGTACTTGGTAAGTGTGTATATCTCCACACATGTGTTTTTCTTCTATTCGAAGTACTGTAATGAATGTCAGGAACATCTGAAACAATAAGTTAATTGATTAGATATATATAGAATATTTATGCTGGTTCCATTAGTGTTTAAGCAGTTTATTGGACATAACAATCAATATTTGATGAGCATATTTTGCAAAATGTTAATGTTTTATAGACCAAATGATTAATTGAGAAAATAGTTGCCTGATTTTTGCCATGGAAATTATTTGTAGCAGCTTCAATGTCAAGTTTGGATATCAACGCAATTACATTTGAGAGGCCTTGTAATTCTGTGAGAACATTATCAAGCGCTGGCTTGAAGGTTTTGTTGCCATGAAACAAGTCACTAAATAGTTGAAATCCACTGACGGTTTGAAATCTTAAAACATTTTTTTTAAATAATTTACTGCTGCTTGAATGAACTTTTGTTTACACTGTTCCGGTTAGCAGATAAATTGTGCGTGAAATTGGTCTTAAAAGTGTTTCTGCAACATTTAAAAAAAAGAAAGTCTTGTATCTAGCCTTTAGCTGTAGGAACCCTGCTTGAGTATTGACTTTACCTCATCAACCTTGTGGCTTTGAATATATGCTCTTCTGAACCCTGGGTTGAATCATCACAGGTTTTCACTCCTGTCTCCACAAACACAATGTGTGTACTCTCTCAAACACTTTTTACAGAACAGATCACAAGGGTGGCTAGAGCTGGCTATTGTCATTCAATAGGTTGTAGTGGAATGACACTTGAAGAGAATGCAGTCAAAGATCAAATAGAAATGTAATGTACACTTTTAAACTAACCTCTGAAGGCTCTTTTTCCTCCTTTTCACAGTGGAGCCCAAAGTCTACGTGTCTGCAGGTTCAACTGCCCTGATCGATGGGGGCAATGATACTCTTGTGGCGACCTGTATCGCTGAGCGGGCCCGGCCCCCCGCTGACGTTTCCTGGGAGTCCAACCTGTTTGGCCAGTCAGAAGTTCAGCTGTTTGATGAAACCAACGGCACGACCAGCACACAAGTGAGCTACCTCTGGCAGCCCACGCGTCACATCCAGGGCCAAACTCTCACCTGTGTGGTCCGCCACCCGGCTCTCGAGAGTGACTTCAGGATCCCCTACCAGCTCAATGTGCAGTGTGGGTGCCTTACCAGTTACTTTTTAGCTTTATATAAACGGCTCAAACACGGCCTTATAGTAAATATGTTGATGGGTATTGAGTCTGTCCTGCTGTAACGTAACGTCCACACGGTTCCGCCGCGTTGAAGCTTGCCGGTGGGCGTGTCTCGCGCACGACCAACAACCAATCACATTAATCTCCCGCCCCGCCCCAACACACAAGCACGCGGTTTGATTGGCGAGCGCTTGTACTGGCATATGATTTGATTGGCTGGCGCTTCCGTCGACGCTTGAAAAGTTGAACTTTTCTCAACTTTCGAAGCGAGCAACGGAGGCAAAGCGACGCGACGGAACCACAATGCAGTTCGGCAAAGTTTGACGTCACCCCATTCAAAGTGAATGGGAAGCGTCTCCATTGAAGCACGCGACGGAACCGTGTGGACGTACCGTAAGACTTTCATCAGGTATCCTTAATGCTGGAATACACTTGCGTAACATGAGTTAAAGGGTGTCTACACTTGTCTGTCAATGTACCTTCCTTAAAACAGTTGAACACTGTATTTAACAGAAAGTACAGACAGACGATCTTAAAAGTAAAGGGACTTGATTTCCAACAGCGGTCAGATGATGATGCTCGGCCTTGTCAGTGTTGGCGTTTGATTTATTTGAAGCACTTCACAACAATTCACTTTGGAAAACAGCTGAATTGACAGAAGAAATCAAGGACACTCCATGCAGGCTTCTAACATGTATTGTGTTTTCTCGTGTTAAGAAAGGCTGTCCTTGGCGTTTTCCTGGATTTATCTGTTTCAAAATCTGAATTTCTTTATGTCTCTCGGTACATGTCCGTGTCAAAGGTGAAAACGTTTTCTGTCAGTAAGCCCCCATAGATGTTAGAGCGCATGTCAGTGCTTTGTGGGGCACGATTGGGTCTCTGCGTAGCAACTGTAAATAGACTAGTGAAAGGGGTAAAATTACCTCCTTCAAAATGTTTTGTTAGACGGATGCATTTAGCTTTGGTCTTTCTTGCTGTTTTATGACAGATGGCGTCCACAAAGGCTTTTATACTTATTCAAGTTAAGGCTCAGCAGCGACAAAACAAAGAATACTAAACAGTTCTATTGTTTGTCAAAAAAGGAAATTCTAACTGTCCTGAGAAGTGGTTCGGAAATAGTGTTTTTGATTTGGCTTTAAATTGTAAAAACCAACAGGAGTCATAGCAGTTTTGCATCTCTGTACACTGCACTGTGTTTTTGAATTTATACATTATGAAACTCCTTGTATGTGTGGAGGACACAAGCTCATGTCTGGAGGCCAGGACTGACCTCAGACTCCATATAATGCTCCCATAATATATATATAATGTGTTTGCTCTAGTGTAAAGCACAGAGTCTCTACCAGAACTATCAATACCAAACAGCAGAAACATTTCCAATACAAGAAAACAAAAGGGCTGCTCAGTCTGTGCAGTGATAACGGTTCTCTCAGGTTGTTTGTTAGCTTTCTGGACAGTTTGCTTTGATATTTCAATGATTTGTTTTTTTCCCGCTCGCCCTGTAGATGCTCCTGATATCTCCGTTGTGGGCTATGATGGAGACTGGTACGTAGGTCGGGAAAATGCACAAATGACGTGCAAAGCCAACGCAAACCCACCTGCTAATCAATTCAGATGGATCAGGTGTGTGTGTGTGTGTTTACATATGTTTCTGGCCAAAATGATTTGCATAACTTTGATTGTTAGCTTACAATCCCCCCCAAACACTGACTTGTAGCTCAGTAAATTGTAGTAGTTTGAAGACTTCTGAAGCTTAAATCAAAGACTAGAGAGTAACATTTAGTTGCTTTTCAATATTTTACTAATATTTTACTAATCTAAAACCTTCAGCTTGTCATTTAACTTGTATAGCAAATAAGGTGTGCATGATAACCTAACAGTATATTTGTCAACGGTGTGACTTTGATTGTCTAAATGTTTGCGTCTCTTGTGCACTATAGACTGGACAGCGAAATGCCAGCAGGGATGGAAATAATGAACAGCACTTTGCTCTTCCTGCGTCCCCTCCAGCGCAATGACTCGGGAGTTTACAGGTGCGAGGTTGCCAATGACATCAACCTCCGCAGTCGGGATGTGCGCCTTCTCATACAAGGTGAGCGCCGTATACACACCGGAACACAGCTGACTCCTATTGCCTCCGCTTCCCTTAGAAAGCACTATGCATGCACGCAAGTCATAGAGGGTATCACTGCCTGACATCGTCCTTCAAGCTGAAATGTGACACTGGATCACTCCATTTGGTACATACTGACAGTCCAAGCATTCACCCATGGTAAGGTGGGTTGGCACTGATAATATTGACCTTTTATATTCAGTCTTCATTGCATGCTGATTAGCCTTGATTAACATTAGGTCTCCAGATGTTCAAAAGGGGGGTTACTGTGCCAAACAGCTGCAAATATTTAAGTCCTTTAGTCCTCAGTGCATTGCCTCTGCTCGGTCCTCTTGGCTTGGTGTCTAAGTTTGTCTTTTTGTTTTGTATGAGGAGCATGTTCCTCCGGTTGCACAAAATCTGTTTTGCCTGTGGAAGCTCTCTCCCTGAATGAAGTTGTGATTATGATGTGATTTTCTTTCACATCTCTCGCTTCTTTTCTGTGTTTCTTTTATTTCTGCATGTGTCATGCGGTAAGAGGGAAAAGCCTGCAGCCCTACTGTGCGATGATGTCCCAGATTCATAAAACATTAACTAGATCTTTTCAACTCTTATTTATTATTTATCATCCATATTTCCTTTTCCTTTGAGAGGACCTGTGCGGGCGTGCGCAAGCTTACACATGTTGGTGTTCCCTTCTTTGTATGTGTTGCTGCGTGTGTGCTCACATGTGTCAGTTCGCTGCCTCTGCATGGAGTTGTACGATTCATATACTTAGAGACTACAAACCTTCAGGTTCATGTCATCTCTCAGATCAGACTCTTTTCCGTACATCTGGCCTGGCACTGAGTTTAAAGTGGCAGAGCAATTTTGCAGCACCATGAAAGCTTTTAGACTTTCCATTACTTCAGTTCCAACTGATTATGGCTTTTGGCTTTTTCCTTTTTTGTGGGCTTCACCCTAATCCAGCACATTTTAAGCTCTAATGATGGCATGGTGAAATAGCAGCATTGCATCATTATACTTGCAAAATAAGGATCTAAATGCATATCCTCATGCAATTTTAAGCATTTGGTACACAAAATGATTTGGTTATGCACTTTTAAAACTGATGAAACAGACAGTCAGCCTCTCTAAAGTCCCAAGGTTTATAAATTGCAATAAGTTGCACTTTGCTCTCTTCATATAATCAATAATACTATGATTTAACAGAAACGGTAGGAAATAGTTTACCCTTTTTTATTCAACCCATTGATAATGTTTTGAGGCAATTGTATGTTGTGCTCAGCCTGAAGAATGGTTCAATGAATCATCTTTCCTATGAGTCAACAAAAATGAAAACTGCTGTATCCAATTTTATATATTTTGCTCTACAAAGTTGTCAAACACAAACCAAAATGTCAGTCGTATAACTTTTAACTCATCTGCGTATACTGCGGGATCATGGTCACAAGCTTGAGAAACTCTTTGTTTCAATCACCAACAATTATTAATGTCATTTAAGTCTGGGTTGTTTACTCTGACACTTGCTAAAATCATGGAGTTTAAGGGAGTTAAAGACTTCTCTGCCAGCAAAGCAAGAAATGATTTACTCATCTGTAACTAAGCTGCGCTCCACAAGTGTTACAGTAAAAACATAGAATTTCAATTGAAACATTTAAAGGATTATTTGTTTTGTGTCTTCCATGTTTCCTGCTGTAGTTACACCCACATCCATTCACTGAAGAATTGTATGTTTCTTGTATACAATATACATTGTTCAGTAGTCTTCAATTTCTTCAGTAGCCTTTGGTTTGCCCTTAGCCTCAACATTTCCAAAGATATATTTTACTTTCAAGTGCATTTGTGGTGAATACAAGCTGACAATGGTGCTTAAAGGGGACATATCATAAAAAAACTCACTTTTTTTTTGTTGGCTGCCTTGGTTACAATACCTATTCATATTCATTAGTGGTCGAAAGTGACAGGTATATTCAGACAGAAAGTATGAGAAATGTAAAGAGTTTTTTTTACATTAAAACGTATAAACATGTTCTATTAGCAAAACGTACAATACAAGACTGAGCCTGATAATAAGCATAATATGTCCCCTTTACATTTTTGAAACTGTACTAAAATAAGATAAAGGTAAGATGAGAATGTTCTTTTTTTTTTATGTTTACCAATTATAAAGGGACAGAAGACTGAAGAGTTGGCAAAGCAAACGCTGCTGTGATCTCCATAGTTTACCAGTGGTAGTTGATGTTTTGTAAACCTATCCCTACTTAGTGAAATGCTGATGTAGTTGGCATTGACATTCTCTGCTTCTCTGTCTGTTCATACTCCCCTCTCACCCTCCTCCCCTCCATTAGATCCTCCCACCATGCCTTCCACCATTACTGCTCCTGTCCTTACTGGCTCTGCCTCCTCCACCTTAGTCGATGATCAGGGACATGTTCTCCTCAGCTCACCCACACTCGAAGCTCTGCCTGAGAGTAATCTGGGCTCCATAGTGGGCGGGGCTGTGGGCGGGGCCTTGTTCCTGCTCCTGCTGCTGTGTCTGGTCGGTGTGTGTTACCTTCAGAAACAGCAAACCTTTCACGGGAACTACTACACCAAGCAGTACCTGGGCCCCAACGACCTGCAGAAGGCCCCCGCGCAGCACGAGCTCCACCCCCCCAAAGCCGGCAGCAGTTCCCACCACCAGGACCACGACCGAGAGGAGTGGGGCGACCGCCAGCTCAAACAAGAGCGTGACCGCCGTCACCAAGGCAACAGAGAGGAGTATCCCTCTAACGGCTACACACGGGCGATGAGGGAGAGCGGCCACCAGAACCAGCAGCAGAATCAGCACCGTGAACCCACTCAGCTCTCGAGTCCACAGCAGGCCAGAGGTGCCAGACACCCTCGTTCCCCTAAACCTCGGGGAAACGGCTCCCCCTACCTGTCGGACGACTGCTACGACAGCGGGCCGGAGGGGGACTATGTCTCTCACACAGACGGCTCCGTCATCTCGCGCAGGGAGTGGTACGTTTGACAAGCCGCCTGCAGGAGCAGAGATACGGCAGAAATCAGAAGGTTTCATTCATCTCATTATGAAGAAACACATTTTTTTTCTCTTCTGTACGCACACGCACACTTCTACTAACCTCGATTCTGTAGTTTCCTTTGATTTGTTTGAGCGTCCTGGTCGACACTTGAGACATTTAGTATCTGTACTTGACGTGGACGGACTGTGGACTGCACGGCCAGTTTGACAGTCAACATCTATATGCCAACAGAAGTCAGCATGTCTCTAGTCTGTGTAGAGACTAACTAAAGATCATGATGTATGTGCTGTCTCTGCCTTACTACATGGACTGCCAATTTATTTAGCATAACTAATGACTTTCAGTTAAGCCGAAGCCTTTGGGGCTAACAGATCACATATGGTTGTCGTATAAGACCCTTTTTTTGTTTGTTTCTACAAAATCAGCCTCCTCAGGCTATGTAACACTTGCTCATTTATATTTGTATGTGTTGGTATTGCTTGCTCGGATTTGTTTAAAAGACATGTGACCTCTGATTATAATTAGCTGGAAGTAAATCCATCAAATTCAGAGGGTCGCACGTCCTTTGTCCAAACCCAGTAGGACACAGTAGAGGCAAAGGTTTGTTTAAAAAAAAAAAAAAAGATTTCTTACACTGAGAAATGTCCATGACTAAAGACCTCTCGACACTGATTCATGAAACGTATTGCACTGCCTTTTGCAAAACTTTATACTAGACGACCACATCGTTTGTTTTCTACAAAAAATGTCTTAATGTAACTTACTGTTGTTGGAAACGTGTTAGCTTAAGGAATTGACCACTGATGTCATGTTAATGTCCTTTGAAAGTGATGGCCCAGAGCGGGAACCTTAAGAGCATTTCTACTGTACGTCCTCGGCTCATCTTAAATCCCCAGGAGGGATGCATACATGGAGGGAGGGCAAGCAAGGATGTCTGCTTGAATGAGGCACAGTCCGACAGATCAACAGACTGGCTTTATCAAACAGTCAAGCCTTGATATCTTCAAGTTTAGATAAGCTGGGATAATATAATTTAACATTTGTGGGATTTATTGTTTTATTTGTTGTTGTGAGTTGTCCTCTTTATTTAGCAACAAACACATTCTCCAATTGGCGGTTAAGTGTTTGAGCGTTTGCACTCTGGCACCGACCCAGGCCTCCTGGAAATACAAGAGTGCTATCAGCAGGGGCATTGTTGAAGCAGGCTACAGTATGGCAGCCACCGTACGCTGGCCTCCCAGTCACAAAGTATTTTGTTACACAAAGAAGTGATTCAAGAGCGCAGCTAGTACACCCGACCTCTGCTACTAATTTCACTATACTCTTGAGTAATCTGTAGAAAAACACACAACTGTGTTACAATCACAATCTGACGCATTAATAGGCTTATTGTGTGCAACTGCACTAATCACGCTCACCAGTTTTTTGTTTTTACATTCAGCATTTATTATCACTATCAGTATTAGAATATAGATTATGTAGAGGAATCAGGTCTTCTGTCATGGTTGAGCTGGCAGTGTGGCCCATCAAAGCCACAGCGCTCCCCACATGGGACAGACTACATTCTGTTGCACTAAACATGGAATCGTTCATTCATAGTTATATAGAGTATCTATCCAATAAAACACCCTGTGCTTATTTTTTTTCTAAAAACAAAAAAAGGATCATATCTGGATTTGCATTTCTGCATTAATTTATAAACCAGCCACATTTGATGCTTATCATGACAATAATGTGGCAGGACCAAGTACTGTGATTGAGCTGAGGAGAAAGTGTTTCATTGGGCTATAGAGCCCTAGTAGTTCAGGTGTCAAACTTAGATTAAAGCTTTAGATATAAAGATACATTTCAGTTTGTGTACGTGATCAAATCCACACATCTTTTGGCACATGCACCTATTGAGGAGAGAGCATGGAGGAGGTCCAACAATCTCCTTCATGTACACTAGTGTTTGTGAATACATGCCAACTTTAGTAGTATGGTCACCTTTACAATATTTGCTGCCAGATGCCAAATATTTGTTGTATGTATAAATATGATGACAGACTCACATAAGTATTGCTGACTAGCTTACAACTGATTTAGTAGCTTATATAAAAGATTAACGTATCACTGTTGTATACAGGGTCTTGTAGCCTGATAGAAGTTAAAAGATGCTTTAGGCCACTTTAATATTACAGTAACAGTCGTCAACATGGGGAATTTGTTATATTGTTATGAAACCTCACTAATTATTTTTCAGGGTGTACATTTTGTGCAGAGAATATGCTGCGATTCTGATAGCGAGAGATTTGATACTAGAGAAGATGACCCCAGTACAAATGTTTTTCAACTGTATCAAATGCTGAGCAGTACACCATTTATTTTCATAGACGGAAGCTTCCCTTTTTATTAATTGCCTTAAGTTTCAGTTGACTCCTATTGCATTAACATAATTCCTCACTTACAGTCTCTGTTGCCTAAAACGTTTTGGATAATCTACCCTTTCTGTGTTAGGAGTAGTTCCAATGAAAAACTGTTTACAGTGTGGATTGCCGAAAAAAAACCTTGTTTCTGTAAAGTGATGTTGCTGTAAAGTGTCTTTGATGCAATAACTCAACGTCCACAAAAAAGAAATCCATCCACTTTTTATTGATGTCAAACTCTGAGAGACTCTGAAAGCCTGGGTAAATCCAAAACGATCTGCTTTCATCTTTACAGCTAAATGTAAGGGAGAATATGTGTGTCTTTTGTAATTCGGGTGACCCTGACTCTTTAATGGTCCGAAATGAAGTGTAGATTTGGCGATTGAACTAGAAGTAAGGTTTGGGAGGTTATACGTGCTGCTGATTCCTGTTCCTTCTGCTCACTTTCACATCGAAGCGGGGAATAACAGGAAGCACAGCCGCCTAACCCCTGCCTGGGTTTGCTTCTATGCACTAAGACGGAAATCCCACTAATCGATATACTATTTTTGCTTGGCTCGTCAGTTTGCAGCCCCGCACCTGGTTTAATGAAGTTCGTTTGTACTGTGACATTTTGTATTGAGATGAGTCATCAATATCTTTACCTTGAGAAATGTCCTTCACTTTGGGTTGAGAAATGCAACTAGTGCCTTAGATACATAGAAGAAATGTTTTCTTTTTATTGTTTGGATGTAAGAACCTGTTTTATTGCTCTGTGAGATTCATTTGTTGCCTTTTTTTGTTTTCTGCATACTGTGTGTTTGGACTCCATAGTGCCATATTACATTTTCCACCAACAGTTATTGACAGAATTTATCTGCAAAACCTAGAGGCATTAAAACACACACATAAAGACGATGCTTGAATTTAAATGTCAAATAGTAAAAGCAGGTATCTGTCAGGGGTTTTGGTTTCTGTAGAGTTGTTTAACAGGGTGAAGAATTAACTTACATTGTCAATGAAAAGCACTTTGTGGTCATGTTTGTTTTTTTGTAAATACAGGAGAAAAATGTAAAGTTTCTGGAAGGGGGAAAAAAATATATTTATGTCGGTGACAACAGTGGAGCGTTATTTAGTCAAATAATTTTGACATACTTTAGTTCAATAAAGCACCTTAGCACCTGTGAGTGATTTTCTCTGGAGGATTTTTGAGCTTGCCTTTACACACACTGCTCAGTCTCAGCCTCTTTGTGCTTCTATAAATGACATCATCTCTAGCTCCCTAATGCTGCAACTCCCCCCCCAACCCCCCCCCTTCCAACCCAGTGCGACCATGTGGGACGCTGCACATGATGTAATTCAGAGTCCTCATTACTCCTTAGTATCCCAGTATGCTGTAATAACATTGAGCTGTTCCTTTCTGCTGGTATTTCTTCAGTGAGGGGAGACCCCGCACCTTTTTTTCAGGACAGAAAGGCCCTCCACTCCAGCTTTGTAAAATACCCCCCCTGCCTGTTCCTGTTGTCTAACAGCTGGTAAAATTAAACGCTGAGTGTTTATGTCTGGCCCAAAGTCCCCTCTCACCAGCCCATTGACTGTCCCCATGGCAACCAGCTCATCTGGAGCTGCTGATGGAGGCTGTCTTCCTACCTGGCCACAAAAAGCTGGGGGGGTGGGTGTGTAGTGCTGAGAGTTTAACTGTTCTGCTGTGAAGGCAGAGCTGAAATAGGGTAAATTAGCTTCTGGAATTGAAAATCGCCCATTACGCCCTGCTGCACCACATAGAGGACACATCACACTGACGTGACCTTGACACTGGTGGGCTCCAGGTCCTCGAGACCACCATTCCCCTCTCAAGATTCTTTTCTTTTTTAATCTTCGGCTGACCTCTCTGCCTTCTACCGATCTCATCATGGTCCCAGCAGATGTTGTCATCCTGACCTTGAAACAGGGCATGCTCAGTCTGAGAAGACATGCAGGAGCAGCTCGGTAGTAGCAACGATGGATTTGTTTGAGACACTGGGTTTTGATGATCAGTGGGTTTGCGTTGCGCCTACCACACAACAGTTTCCAGGGATACTTTTCACAACACACAAAGGAGTGAGCGAACGTCTCAGGCGGCGCAGAAGGATGCAGCGCTGACGCCTGTGAGAGAGGGAGACTTTGATATTAACTCCCAGGCAGAGGTGGGAGCACATCGTCAGCATCACAGAGCAGAGAGACACGATGACAGACCACCTACCGCTCTAACCTCCCCCCACCACCCTTCTGCTATTCTGCCAGCATCTGCTCCCGGCGGGGTCTTTTGTCTGGCCAATAGAATGACCCTTGACCCTGCTGTTAAGATGTTCGGATGTGGTGGGGGGGGGGGGTTGTCTTATCATCAAACGCTCGCTCACATCTCTTCATGCCACCAAGGTGTGCTGTGTTTAATTCATGATGAGCCCGTCTGCTTCGCTGAGCTGGCTGAGTACTTTTTGTGGCTTCACTTAGTGTGTGTGTGTGTCGGTGTGTGTGTGTGTGTGAGGGAGTAAAAGAGACAGAAAGAGCCTTGTACTGACTTGAGCCAGATCCTAGTATGAGGACAGTTGATCCACTACTAATCCAAACCCCCTCCAGAATAAATATTTAAACCAATGAACTAATAGAACAACATCTAAGCAGTTGTATATATTTCTTCCTGTATGATTAAACCCCTGATGTGCTCCATGCGTTGTAGGTTTAAAGCACTTTTATCCCTTGTCACATTATGAATTTCTGCAAGGAACGTCTGTCACCAGGCATTAAAGCATGCAGTTTGATGAACTGCATTTTTAAAGGCTTTTTGATCAACTCAAGAGGCTCTTGTCATAGTTCAGCAGCCATCAAAGGTAATCGAACGGTTGTTAACTGTTAAAGGACAGCATGAAGGGAGATGACAGGAACAGGGGGGAGGGTGAGAAGGAGCAAGAAGTCTCTCTGAGGGGAGAGCTCAGAAGTCCCAGCTTGTTCAATCTGCATCAGAATTGAACTGTTATTTAGGATTCTCAGCACAGTTATTGATTTTTTCCCCCCTCACCTTAGCTTAATCAACTGGTTTCGCCCACCAGTGTCACCTTTTGTCCTCCAGTTCCTTCAGTGTCCCACAATCACAGTTTTACACATTACTGCTGAATGGCCAAAACTCGCTGCTCTCTGAGTTTAATGCATCTTAATCACAATTAATCCTAATCCTCTCAGTGGACAACATGGAGCGTATGCAAGCATATGGTCAAACAAAGCTAATTCTGCAGACTTTACAACTCGAGACACGCAAAAGACATGAATAAGGACATGTGTAGATGGATGGAGGTGAACATGTAAGGGGAATCACTATTGAGTAAGAGCTTAAGGGTGCAGGATCTCCAATTGAACTCAATTCGGCTGCAGACGCCCTATCCCTACTATGCATATTAATTATATTATCTACTTAGACTTGCTTGTAACTTATTTTAAATAATAACTTATTAATTTGATACACATGAAAAATAAGGACCTCTTTCATGTACATTTAACAAGAAGCTAGCAAGCAGTTAGCTTAGCAACCGCGTTTATAGTTCAAGTATTCTGAGGCTTTCATGGTTCCTTTTCTTTTTAGCATCCGTGAGCCCCCTCCTTTCCTCTTCAAAACGAGGAGGAGGACAGTCCTTGAGGAACAGCAGACACATGATGACAGTCCCCAGAACAAACTGTGCTCCAGTTAACAAAACTCTCACACGTTGCAGGTTTCAAATGTGTTGTTGCATTTTAAATGTCAAGCCTCAGAAACACACACAAAACGCAGCTTTAAAGACTGAAAACACTCTTGGCCTGCCCTGTAGGCGATGTGTCAATCTGAAACCAGAAGCTTTTACTCTCCTGGCCTGCAGCAGGTTGATACAGCAAGCCCTGTCCGTCATCCGCAGGATTGAAACTGATGTTGCTGTCACTCTCGTTGCCTCTGGGGGACAAAGGTTGCACAGAGGGTCTGCAAAATGTTTATACTAGCAGAGCATGCTTCTATAAACAGAGTGCTACAGGGATGATGCTTTCTTTGTAGAAAAACCCGGACGTTAGCATCACCATTGCCAAAAAGACAACTTTTTTTTCTTTTCTCTTTTGGCTTATTGCAGAAAATGCGTAGCAAAGCGCACGTTTTTAGACCTACGCGTTTTGTTCAGCAAGAAAATCTGCATGCTATTGCCAGAATACGCTCACACTAAAAGCAATGGCCAGAAGTAAAAAGCTAATGCCAGGCTATAAACAAACTACACAACAATTGCAGGAATTCAATGTCACAAGTGTCGGTCAAGTCTAGATAGTAACCCAGAGTAACCTTCAGTTTTCAAAAATGTGCAAATAACTTTCACGACACTTGCCACCTGATGACTTCCTCTAACTAACCATTCCAGGTCAATGCCTTTCCTTAACTATAAAAAAACAATTTGAAAATAATGGATGACCCTTTTAAGATTAATAGAAGCTTTCAAAGTTATCGCATATTTTATGTTGTAAAACAATTCTAAATGTATTAAGCTTGTCTTATCCATTGACCTCATTTCAGGCATCTAACCAAAAACCCATACAAAAAAATTGACTCCATTGACTTTGAGAATAGACACCCGGAAGTGCAAAAATGCCTATTTATTATTAAAAAAACATTATTAGGAGCTACACTTTATTTCTAGTGTTTGTCTTGTACATGTTCACATCTGTGTGTTAGTGTTGTACTGAAAGTGTCTCTACTCTACCTCAGACCAGTCCGAGGCAGAGAGGTCAAACTCCATCGTGGTTGCCGGAGCCGTGATGGGCGCAGTCCTGGCTCTCTTCCTCATCGCTGTCTTCCTCATCGTGATCCTCACTTCTCGCAAGGCCCCGCCGCCCGTTTTTGCTGACAAAGTGTAAGTCTGACGAATAATTCATGGTGCAGAACATGGTCGTCTGGTTAATTAATGACATGATACCTTGTGAGGGGGACTGAAGCCCATCAGAGGGTTCAGGGCGGCTCCTTCACTCTGTGGAGAGCAGGGAGCTGGAGGACAAGGTGGAGCGTTGCCACATAATTGCTGTCTTGGCAGAAAGCCCTTGTCCTATTTTGTTCAGTCTGGACCTATAGTGCACCCGCACTCATGTTAATGTTAGAGCCAAGAAGAATAACTTTGATGTTGAATTATTTACAGAAGGAGCTGGGCCACAGTCTGCCAGAGTCCTCTGACTGACATGAAATGCTGTCAGCGTGCATTCCTTATTTGTCTGTCTCCAGAGTCCATGTTTTGTAAAATTAGATCAACTCTTTACTTTCTGTGTCGTTATACTGTTGATAAGCCTCCTTCCTGTTACATGCAAATCACTCTTATAAACCTGTGGACCATATCTGCAAGGTCGCAGGTTGATCCCCTCATCCATCCCTGTTAGTGTGTCATTGAGTATGCTCACTAAGGGGAAACACAGTCACACACATCGAGCAAGTCTCAAGGAAGAAGGCTGAATAATTACTACACAGGTTATCTCTGTAGCATTTCATTCAGGGGGCTAAATGCTCCCAAACTACAGATTTCAAGTCAACTGCAAATGAGCCGATGATGATGAATGCAGAAGTGAGTGAGACTGATTGGATATACAAGTTGCATCTTGTAATGGGGAAGTACAAAGAGGGAAAAATGTTCACACATGGATTATTATTGTTTTATCTAAAAGGATTTTGGATTAACTGTTGTATTCTCCTCCTGCAATCTTATATTTTCTCTTATTGTCCTCAAAGTACTAAGAAAGTATTTTTTTTTCAATACTCCATGCATATTGTTCTTTTGCGACCTAATTTAAGTGACAGCGCATACCTCTGACTGAGTTTCAACCTGACTGATTATGTGTCAGTGATAATAGGCCACCTTCACACTCTGCTGACTGGCAGAACACACCCTGATCTGAGGGGGAAATACGTTGTGCATCAGCACACTGACACTACAGGATGGCGTGTTGGTCTGTGGTCAATGACACGACAAACTTAGCATCTTAAGTGTGACCGTGGTTGGAAGTCCCAGTGGAATGCCCGAGGGGGGGGGGGGTGGGGGGTGTACAGGCCTCGTCCCCCTCCTTCATCACACACAGACGTGAGTGCAGGACAGCATGTCACTGAGCTGGACTCTCTACTATACCAGGCATGAAAGGGAAGGGCTGCATCAAGTGATATACAGTGTGAGAGAATCAATGCCTGTCATGACATCATGTTATGAATGGCCAAGGTCACTTTCTAGGTCATATTTTAGTAGTGGAGGGGGATTTCTCTAAATGAGAAAACGAGTCTTATTTAAGCGTCTTAATTAAGGAACTCGCACCGTGAGGGATTTCAGAGCAGATGTCAGAAGTCTTCCAATTTAATAGTGGAAGTCCATAGTCCTCATAGCCGTGTTTCTTAATACCCTCAACCATATTTATTGTTTTATTTGATTTTTCTTGCTGTTTTTCCCTTTTTTGTGCTGTTTTTTAAAATATTTTATTCTGAATATCAGTCAGAGTACTCCTGGTTACATAAAGGTTACATAAAATGTAATAGTTCATAATTAATGTTTGTATGCTACCATTAGTATCACTGAATACCATATCTTAAAGGAGCACTTCAGTGTTTTAGCATTATACTTCCATAAATAAAGTGAACTTGGAAGATACTTATTTTCAAAATAATGGTCCAAAGGAAGAAGCAGACGCTGAAATACACTGACTTGTTTTTTTAGAGCGGGTCAGGCTGTAAAGACTCTTCCTCGAGTTTAATAAATAAGCTTTCTGTTATGTATTTGTAACTTCAAATCCCAACCCGAGATGCCGATAACATCATCAGGATGATTATTCTCAGAAGTAAGAAAGCAGCATTTGGTGTTCTTTTTAGCAGCCGCTCAAAAACCTTTTTTCAGAAATGTAATTTTCCCCCAGCACAAACTAATAATGTTCTTTCTAATGGCACAGTTTGTTCTTTTAGGTTTCTGTCTGTTCTCAAAAAAGAAAATGTCTCTTTATTGCAATTTCTTTGTCTCTGCTTTAAAGGATTGACCTTCCTCCGACACACAAGCCGCCCCCTCCCTACTCTGAGAGAGCGCCGGCCATCCCCCTGGGGGTCCACGCATCACAAGTGGCCTGGCTCTGTCAGGTAAAGCCCCGCTCCCCTTCATCAAGGCTTTATCATCACGTTGGTGCATCTAAATCGTCACATACTTATCATTACACCACCAATATTAACTCTTGGTGAGATGACTGCTGAGTCACAACAGGAAGTAATAACAACCTGAGCCATTCCATTATCTGTTTATCAAGCAGAAGGCCTAATGGCTGTACTCATTTAATATGTAGCATGGTTTAATTTTTAATCTGTGTGCTCGGCTCACCTCCAGCTATCATGAGCCTGCACTTATTTTAGTCTCACCCACAGCTTTTCCTGTTTCTTTCAGGACAATCACAAGAGTATATAAAACTATTGTCTCAAGAAAGAGCAGTCACGCTATGTTTGATTATTTTTTTAACCAGCAGAGTCGCAGGGCAGAGCGCAGGCACGAGCTGAGTGACAGGCAGCCCCCTCCACCCGCAACAAGGCCGGGACCACCGGCAGCTCAAAGCCCCACCCAGCGGCTGTCCCGCCTGCAGTGGGTGTGTCATCAGAGTGGGACAGACCAGGTCTACATCAACCACCGAGAACACTATGTGTGACTGTCATACAGAGAGTCCAGGCTTCACCCTGAATCACTGAGCCGTCAATCCAGAGGAGGAAACAGCTGGCCGCCTCAGAGAGGGAGTGTTCCTCACACACACTTTCATTACCTTTTATTTCACATCGTTAAATGTTATTTGTCTTAAAGGATGGTTCAACGTTTTGGGAAATTAGTTTATTAGCTTTCTTGTTGAAGCTATAGCCAGGTGACACTTATCTTTGCTTAGTTTATGATTTAAAATTACCTGGCACTCTCCGGTGATAAAAAAAATCTGTACCTTTTAACGGAGATTAAAGGGGACTCACCTTTTCAGTGCTTCTCCACATTCATTTGAGTATGTGGAGAACCCACTACACTACTATCAGTATTTTATCGGCTTCCAATATCATAATATTGTCATTAGAATACACCATTCCCCATTTGAGTGTTTCAACCAATGGTGTGACAACTACCTTTGAAAAGGTGCACCACATTTTTCTCACAAGCCAATCAGAGCACTCTTGGGTTTTTCGAGTGGGGCACCTAAAGGGACAGGCACTTGAACAGAGCGTTTTAGAAACAGGGTGGATACAGGTATATTCAGACAGACAATACAGAGGAAAATTATGATTTTGTTAACATTTAATCATTTAAATATGTTACGGTAGACACTCAAAAAAACAGAATTAACCTACAAATATAGATATGTGACCTTTTAAGCAAACAAGATTTAACGTGGTGATTTTAGAGGTTTGGTACGAGTATTTTGTTTTTCACCTTCAGACAGAGACACACGAGTTGTTTCCAACTGCTTCTAGTCATTCTGCTATGCTAAGCTAACCCCTTTCTAGCTTAAACTTTAGTACATTACAGACGCAGGAGTGGTATCGATCTATTCAAAGTGAGTAAGTGCACTTCTTAAATGTTGAACTACTTATTGAATTATTTGTTCTTATTTCAGATTTCCTTAAGACTATTTAGTGTTCGATATCATTGAGGAAACAAGTTATGCTTTAGAAATCACAGCAAAAACTCACAGTATTTGCCCCTCAATCAGCTTGTGCGCTATACTGTACAAGTGTAGAAAGAAAACAGCTGATTTTTAGTTATCCAACAAAATTTGAATACTGTTTTTTCTTTTCTTTTATCAGAGAGGCTACCACATACATCTGAGACTCTACTCTCAGGCATATCACTAGACCAAACCCCGCAAGATCCAAACAGCTTAGGTCCACTGAGACCAAATGTACTAACTGCAACACAGACCATGAAGGGATTAAATTAGGTATTTCTGTCCCAGCTCTGTGATGTGCTGCTGTAATGTTATGACTCCATGCTTTTTGGCAACTGTACAGTAGATTTGTAAATGAGTAAATGTAGCCTCTGTGTCAGTGTTATTATGTAGAGTCATAACCTCCTACTAATCAGGGAAACAGTAGTATGAGACGTTTCTGACGTCAGTCCTTTTTATATATACATACTGTAGAAAATATGTAAACTATTCTTTTTGTGGCGAGGAGCTGACGACATGCTTCACATATACTGTTTAATATGTTTGACTTTTACCTGAATGATTGAAGTGCCATAATGATATTTTAGGGGTGTTCCCTCTAAGTTTAGTATGCTGTAGTTTTTTACATTTCTTTATTTTTTACAATATCATCATGAGCCGCTTTCTTGTTTGATTTAAGTATTACAATTAACAAATAAATGCATAACATTTGCACCAGTGACATGAACTGTTCTTACTTTGTATAATCAGACTGCACTTCATGACGTTGATGCAAAAGACTTCTGAAACAGTGAGAGGTGGAAGCTCTGAGTCACTTTATGTGGAAACAAAGGAAAAAGTCCTTGAAGATTTTTAAATGACGTGTGGAGGATTTTTGAGGTAAATGTATCTCAAGGTCACAGTCACATTGTGATTCTCACGACAGAGAGAGAAAAGAGCTGTTTCTAATACCAGGAAACATGTTGTGTAGATAATGTTTGTATGGAGCCCACATTGCAGTGATGGTATACATGTTTGTCAGGATCCATTTATTTCTGGGCATCAGTGACAGTCAGTGATCAGTGGGTTTCTCCTTGCTCTCGTCAAGAGGGTAGCTGACACTCTCCAAGAGCAACACCTAGTGGTCAAACATGGTGGTGCAGCCCATGATGGTGCAGCCCATGATGGTGAGTACTACACTCCCTGACCATAAATTATGAAGTAAATATGACCTTTGGCTGCTCTCTGTCCATGAGAGCTTCTTACTGTATTTGATTAACATTTGGTTATGCATTTAGATTATAGGGTAAGTAACTCACGTAGACAAGCCTAATTGATTTTGTATGTTTCTCAGACTAAAGCACAGACAGTAGTCAAGTATAAAAGAAAAGAATCACAATACTTTCTCTGTAGCGTGGATTTAAACAAAACTGTTCATAATTGAATATAAAAAAATAAATAATTCGAAAGCAGTGTTCAAAGAAGTATTAACAAATTTCAGACTTGATCTGACAAATAAAGTAATATCGTATCGTATCGTATTAAGTTAAAGTACTTATACCACATCTCAGAAATACTTCACAACAAAAGCCCTGCTTTTAAAGCTATACTAAAGTAAAGATATTTAAGTATTATCAGCTAAACATACTTAAAGTATCAAAAGCAGTATTGTGCAGTTCGTTTTTTGTTTTTTTTTCACAACACTTCGTCATATTAAATAAATGTAACAACAGTAACAGTTGACAAAGGAATTAAGATTAACCAAGCACCCTGCATTTTTACTAAACAACTTTTTATTGGGGAGCAACATAACAATAGGAAATTACAATACAAAATATGAAATACCTATAGAAATAAGCCATTCTACAACAAGAGATAAAAGTGGCAACATTAAAATAAAAAACGCAGTTCGGGTTAAGCCCTCCTGCAACTCAGTTACAGCTAACACTGCTCACAGCTTTGGAAAATTACATTTTTATAGAAAATGTTGACCTTGTTTTTTTTTCAATAAATACTGAAACTACCACAGTCCTATTTTTAGGCTGGGGTTCATATTTTGTAATGACATTTTGTAAATTACATCAGTTAATTAAGACATGTTAGTATGACTGCAGCTGCGATTTAAGATCTGAAACTCCGACCACTAGAGGGCACTAGTCACCAACATTAATCTGACATGCTAACAGTAGCTAACCGCTCACAGTCTACAGGCTCAGGTTTGGCAGCTAAAACCGTACACTGGTCAGAGTGAGGGATAAATAAAGGAATAGTGCACCCCGAATTTAAATTATACTCTTTCTCACGTCTCACAGTTAAAGCATTTAAAAGTTTTGATGACAATGTCACAATGAGGGAACATTTATCAATAAGAGTAGGCTATGGAGGAAAAGTCCAGACATGTTTAACTGTTCACATAGGCCTACAATGCAGCCCTCCATTACAGTCACACCTGAAGAGCCACTAGTGGAGATACATTAAAGGCAAATCTCCATCATACATATATATTGACTAACTGCTACACAAGTTAACAATATCTTGTGTAGCAGCTTTCAAGGTGTCCTGCAGCACCACTGGTTGAATGACTTATGCAATGACAATGTGAAAATCGCTTTAATTTTTAAATTGTTGTTGTTGTTGTAGTTTTATCTAATTAAATGTCCTCTTAAGGCAGGTTATAGTGCGACTGGTTTACACTATTATGCAACTGAAACAGGGTATCTGGTCATAGCTAGTTATAGTTATGTACAACTTAAGACTCATGTAGGCAACTTAACACTAACCAAGGTGATGTACAATTTCTTCAGGAGTATTTGAAAAAGTTAAAAAAAAAAGATTTTGGCAAGCTTAAAGCAGCTACAATATGTTAACATTAAAGGTTGCTTCCAGTAACAAAGCCATAGAAGTATTCAATTAGCCCTTCAGAGAATTTTACTATCTTTCAGCATATTGTTTTGGCTTACTGACCACAAGTTCATTGTTTCGATTGGGAACAAAAGATAGCTAAAATATTAAAATAAATATTATTTTTCGTGGCAAGAAACCATACTCCAAATTAATGCTGCATTGTTTTGTGTCAGCTGGAAGCACAAAAAAGTTAGCATTCACAAGTTAATTGATGCAGCTTTTAAAATGTTAATGGGCTTGTTTACTGACATTTTGTGTTGTCAATAAGGACGTTGTAAAAAGCAGAACCCAGCTGAAATAGTAGTGAATATCTATCCACAGGCCGACACAAAACATGTGTTGGCCTGTTAGTGTTTTAACGAGGAGGTGAAATATGAGAGCAGAAATAAAGTTGTCCTATCTGCAAATTAATTTAAAATGCTTCTGTTATATGCTTAAATCAGTCAAATTTTAATTTACTGCTGAGTTTAAATTGCTCTCACTTCTTCTGTTCCTGCACTTTATATCTTTAATAACTAATCTGCCCCAGGAGCAGCAGCAGGTCAGTTTCTACCTGATTAAATGCAATTAGCATGAACAGCATATGACATGTCCTCATTATTTCTCATTAAACTCTCATAAGAGTTGCAAGGTGTTGCTTTTTAAAATATATCCAACGTAGCAAGCAAAAAAAACATTAATGTTAATTAATAGCAGCATGTCCGATTTATTCTACCGAGTTTACAATTCATGGTGCTGCATAGACATAATGAGAGCAGCAATAATGAGAGCAGCAATAATGCTTCGGTGGTTCATTATGAATAATTCTGCAGTTCAACAGGAACATGGAGCTCCCTGTAAAAATAGACCTGTTATCGAAGAAAAAACACACGGTGGTATTCTGCCCCTGCTTAGAGTATGTGAGTGTGAACTGGTTATATTAAACATTGCCTACAAACAGCATCTCAGTAAATTAAATTATTCTCCTCATACACTTCCACTCTTTCTTTGTGAGTGAAGGGCAGCTTTGTTTCAGCTGTCAGGATCAATTATATCTTGCTCCTATTAATGAACATCATGGTGGAGAAATGGAAATGAGCCGGCTCTCAAAGTGGCCCCACAGATGATGTAACCATTCCAACATTTTCCGAATCCCAAATCGTGGGTGCTTTCAAACACTTGACCAACCAGTTACTTTGCCTTGGCTTTCTGTTTGGGAGCCGGTGCAGCTGCAGGGGCAGGTGCAGGTTTTGTGGCCGGTTCAGGAGCAGAAGAGGGTCTCACCTTATGATACAGACTGAGGAAACTGCAACAAAACAGCAGCATCAACATAAAGATGGTCATAATTTGTTACCATGAGAACATTTTGCAAATAGAAGGTAACTTACAGGTCTTTGATTTTCTTTACAAAAGCTTTGACCGCTCTAACCATCCTCCTTAAACGCATCTGTCAACAAAATGATACACAGGTAAGAGTTTAAAGCTTTTCTTTAACTTCTGTTTATGTGGTATCAGAGGAGTCTTTTTCACCCTGGACCCGAATATTCAGCCTATTGCTGGCTGGGTATGTATTTAGTTTGCAAATGTCCATCACATGAGAGGTCAATAAAGGTATTCAGGAAAACTCTACACAATTTACATGTATAAATGGTGTTACTAGTTTATCACCATTATTATGTTTTGCTGGAGTCGGCCTACTGCAGTTTAGTGAATGATATTGATTATATATTTTTTTTAAAGGAACTTACCTTGTTCTTTTTGTACAACAGAGGAATGGAGAAAACAACGATCACGGCTGTTAAACAAAGACAAAAGATACATAATTTCAGTACCAAGGTGTAGGTTAATACGGAAGCACTGAGAGGCAAAGGAGGGGGAAGAAATCTGGTGATCCATTTTAATCGTCTAATCTTAGATGATTCATCTACTGAATAAATGACTTGAAGAACAGGAAAAAATAAAGCTTTTGCCAGGATCATCTTACTAAGCTCCTTAAATAAATCATCTGTGAAATAGGTCAGGATGAACGCTTTTCAAAGGTGGAAGTTCACAATGTTGTGTTGTTGTAATACTCATTTTGGCCACAGGAGGAAAAAGTGCACCACTACCTTATTATCTTAGAATTAAAAGCATGTGTTCTTCTAGATGTACTACACAAGGCTAATATATTAATATCAATATAACATTTTTTTAGTCAAGACATGACAGATATGTAACATAACTTGCTAACACAATATATTTACTTTGTATGTACCTTAAGGCCTTTCAGAGCTTCCGTATGTCATTTAAATGTAGTTCTTATTTGAATGATATGGCACACAACCCTCTCTAAGCAGAGTGGGGTTTTGGGTTATGGTATGACACTCTTTGGTGTCTTCGATGTTGAAACAGAACATTTTAAACTTTGTTTTCTCTCTCTTTTCAGAGTTTGATTCTTTAAACTATGTCTATGATCATCCCCAAGTAGTCTTTTCTTTTGCAAAGACCTCACCAAACTGTAATCATGGCGTTGGCAGATCAAAAAACCCTTTTGGAATCAAATAACTCACCAGTTATCACCAGAGTCAGGCCACTGGTAAAGACCCCAACATAAGTCAGCAGATACAGGAGCAGGACGAACTGAGAGAGCACCGGAAAGAAATGTTGATAACAAATGAGTCCCTTAGAGTGATTGTAGTACAAATACCAATGAGAACCAACACGCTTCATTATGCAGCTCTGTGAAGTTGAGCAACGCTCCCATACAGTACATGCTGACCTGTCATCATACCACTTTCAGGTTTTATGATCAGTTTGTGTTCATACATTATTATCATTATTTTATCCTCACACTCTGACCTTAATGGAGTCGATCACGCTCTCAATAAAAATCAGCCGTTTAATTTCTGTGAGGGCAAAGGCGATCATCAGGACCACCTCCTCCACCAGCATCACTGTCTCCCTGTCTGTCAGAGAGCTGTCATGATTCAGATACGACCTGAAGCAGAGACACATACACAAGCCTCAGAAACACAAATAATACAAAACTATCAAACAGAGGTGATGTTGGTTTTAGGTTGGATATCGACAGTCATTCAAGCCTTATATATTGCCATGAAAATGAATCAGTTTCTTTATTGAAAAGGCTTTTTAAATAGCTTCCATGTCATGTGACCGAGCGACTCCAAATCATTGCAGCATTGTATTACAACACTGGATGCCATGACTCTTTTTATTTGACCCTTGGCCTTTCTTTTAATTAAAAACTCTAATAAGCTTCCTTTTAATGAGACCTTGTGACTCAACGTCAATGCAGCATTGTATAACTTTACTTGATGGGTAGGATACACACATTTTCTATTGGGTTTTAATGTTTTTTCAATTTTATATGAATATTGAATACAATTCAGCTCTTTTATTGAAAAGTATCATATTTGTTCAATACACTCCAGGTTCAGGTGTATTCATCTTGTCCAGTGCAGTAAAACAATGCTGCATTGGTTTAGAGAAACTGGGTCACATGATATGGTAGCTAGCTATTGAAAAAAAATCAAGACTTTTCAATTAGTAATGCCTTTAACACTACATGAACCATTCTAAAACCGTATGAGAATTAGGTTTGAAGTTAAATGTATCTTGATAAAAGCATATGTGAGAATAAATCAATGTTGACAGACTCACTCAAAGGGGTGAACCCCGGGGTTCCAGCGCAGCAGCTCCAACAGTTTGTAGTAGAGGCGGAGGGTGAAGGTGACAGCCATGACACCCAGACAGATGTGTGAGATCACGGTGATGGCGCTGAGCTGGAACAGACTGGCCAGACTCATCACCAGACCTGTGAACACCACACCGGTCCTCCTCAACTTCCGCCAATACACCAGATCAACGACTGCAGAAGAGGACGCACATGACAGGAGCAGAAAATGAAATGAATTACTGATGATGCGTGATTGTCAGAGGGAAAAACTGTGACAGAGATGTGAAGTTTGTAGATCATCTATCCTCCATACAAAGTCAGGCCTTGGACCGTTAGATATGGCACATAGTTGTGGCAATCACAACTCACAAATCACATTTGTATTGTATACATATAGATTTATTTGGACACCAATTAGCCACCAATGTGTGATGGCAATCCCTTCCATATTTCCATTCCTCAAAGCATTGCAGCATGTTGAATTGCATGTTTCTTTGAACCAGGAAGTAAATAACAACCTGTCGATGCATGTGTAAAAGTTATGGTCATAAAGAGGCTCAGACTTTGTTTTATTTAGCTTCATATCAGTCAAATCAAATTCCTATGAAGTGACACCATTTGAACCAGCAGTACGTGTATTTGATACCAACTCCATATTGAAAAAAAACAGAATATCTTCTATCTTCCTTTGTTTATTACAAACAGTCTCACGTCTCTCCCTCTGTTCCAGAGAAGCTTTACTTATATGGAGGTAAATGAGGGAAAAATGGACACCAGGTCATTGAAATAAATACATTTTGAGATGTCTTAGAGGTGTGAATCATTTACCTGCTCCTTTGTGACACATTGTCTATGGCTTTAAAAACATATTTTTCTCTATTCAGTAATACCTATATTCAGTACAACATTGGTCATTTCTACAATGGCGTACAGTTCATGGGACTGTGTTGAGAGTAAATCTTGCCTCTTCAAATACATCCATACAAGAAGCATCTTTGTATTCACCTCCTTCCTTGCCGGAAAATATATATTTTTAGGAATAAATGTGCATCTACACAAGTGCATTGCTTTTAATGATGCAATAAGCATGCTATGATTCACTGGTTATGAGATCTTCAATCTCTAAGCTGTTGAATGATCCTCCCAGCTCCCATGATAATCTTAAGGTATAATCAATTTAAAACAAACACTTAATACACACATCAATAACAAGTTGTCTTCATTAAGACAATGTACTAGCAACTGAGTCATGCATTCACACACACACACACACACACACACACACACACACACACACACACACACACACACACACACACACACACACACACACACACACACACACACACACACACACACACACACACAGCTAAACCAGCAACATATTTTCATAATCAGGCACCATTACTGTCACATCTATTAAGTAATTGTTACCAGCATGGCATAACCATAACCTGATCCTGATGCCAAAAATAAAATAATACGAAATAAATACCATCTTAAAATAGCGCTGAAAATAAAACACTTATCAATCTTCTATTCTTATGGGACAAACTGGACCTTTAAGAATGAAACTAACAAACAACATTCAATCAGCGACAGGCTCTCATTTAGCTGAGTCCCATCTGTCTGCCGAATGAAAGACATGCAGGACTCAGTATTTGACTGGTCATCCTGTCTGAATTCACACCTGCTCAGCAGAGGAGGGAAACTAAACTTTCTCTCCCTCCTCCACCGGACAGCTGCCCAGCTCCCTGTCTGCTCTGATTCACTCTACTTAAAGCTGTCACTGTTTATTTCCTTACCTTTGGTGGCCATTTCAGCGACGATCCTGCTTGCTTTCCCCTCTTCCTTGAGCTCCCACTGTTGGCTCGCACCCCAGGCTTTTTTTGGCCACCCCAGCTCCGTCAGCAATATAAGGCCTGGCTGGCCTAATTTTATCCTGTATTGGATACCCCCTGTTTGCATTCACACACACACACACACACACACACACACACACACACACACACACACACACACACACACACACACACACACACACACACACACACACACACACACACACACACAACCACACACACACACACACACACACACACACACACACACACACACACACACAACCACACACAACCACACACACAACCTCAAATTGGGAACCTGAGACATCAGCATGTACATGTATCCTCAGCTCTCAGAGACTGTCATGGTTCCTCAGCCATTTGGTGGCCGACCTGCACTCAGAGGCCTCCACATGCAGCCACGTCAGTGAACACAGCTTCAGCAATGCAACACTATAACTCACATGGTATTGTTACTAGGATATTGATTCATAATTTAATAGCAATATGCTTTGAATCAGATATCCCAACGTTGCAGGCAGATTGCTATGTCTACTGTATGTCTCAGTCATATAAGAATATGAATCAGCTATGTATGTGCACACAGTAGAGAATGTTACTGCAGTACGTAGTTTGCATTGCAGTGCACTTACAACAAAATAGGCAAAAACAGCCAGAGACAACAAAGCTGGACAAATTAGTGAAGAATATATAAATATTATACGAATAAATAATATAAGCAACCATTTCCAAAAAGAAACAATGTAATACAATGTATATATAAATGTTCTGTGAGTTTTCAAAATATAATAATAATAATAATAATAATAATAATAATAATAACAATAATAATAATAATAATAATAATAATAATAATAATAATAACACTAATAATAATAATAATAAATACATATATTCAGATTATGGTTAAAGCACGATAAATACTGTACTGTATGTCACAGATTATAAAGAAGGATATTTTTTAGCACTGTTACAGAGAGTCCCTCCCATTTGTTTGTGAAATTCCTCCAGATTATTCATTTGGCTTCAGTATCATGTGCCTGCTCAAACTCATGCACAGCTGCCAAACCGCAGATGTTGCAGCTGTGAATAAAGATGTTACTCTGCCTTTTTGAGCCCTTCAAAATAACACATTTTGCAGGTGTGAGACTGTAATCTGTACTGATATCTCCTTGGCACACAACAACTCAGAGGTTTGTTTCTATTGCTGCTTTAAAAGCACAAGTGACTGTGATTTAATGTCTGAAACATTTCCATCCTTTGGTCACATTAGCACGACTGGCAGAGTGTCAGTCCATGAATCCAAGTACGTGGAGAATTACAGAGAGCAGCGAAGTCATCCTGCATGACTCAATAGATTTAAGCTGTTATTTGGGAAATGGTGCCAAACAAAACAGCTGTTGGTTATGTTGTGATGCACAATCATACAAAATCTAATTTTCTGCTTCTTCAAAAATAAATGAAACATGCAGCAAGCTGTCCTCCTTTATCTCTATTGAATTATTCTCTGTATAAATACACATTTGTGGCTAATAATATTGTATTCTCTGCCATTTTATTTTAGAACTTAAATTAAAACTATTCTACACATCAGCCTATAGCACATTTTGTTTAATGGCAACACTAAATTCCATAGGAAGAAAAGATATCTGTCATCAAGTTATCCACAAAATAAGAATACAAAATGAAACAATACAAACATATTTCAAGTTTGGCACACAAAATGTCTTAGGTGTCTACCAGGTGTAAATATGTAATGCAGCGCTGACAGGAACTGTACATGCACTGTCCCCATGTTTAAAGTGAAATATCAGGGATTATGTGTGTGCATAATGAAAATAACCCTTTCCCCCCGTGAATAAACACTGTGTGCTAAATAGCCGACCGTCCTGTAATCCACAGCAGTGGCAGCTCATAATCCCAACCGATCAAAGGTAGAGATTACCATTACCCAACATGTGTAAGAGGCAGAGCAGCAGATTGGAGGACGGAGAGGGAGAGGCTGAGCTCCAACGGTACAGCAGAGATACAAGCTAAGCAGGGATTGGAGAACAAAAATAGCCAGCCAATCCTGGCAGACGTAGGGAAAATAACAAGGGGAGCGACAGTGAAGGAGGGAAGAGCTATGAGAAAGAAAGAAAGGAGGTGAAATCACAGCAGCAAGAAGGAGAGACCAAAACAAGAAAGAGAGGGAGGATGAGTGGAGGAGAAAGCGCCGATTAGTAAGGTCTCCAGAGAGGAGAGGAAGGAGATGAGCAGGGAGAGGGGGGTGAGTAGAAGCCAGCACTGAGAACATCTATCAGGCAGCCATGCTCTGAGCCCTGGAGCAGCCGGGGCTACGCAGACAGGCCCAGCATCAGGCCCAGCCACAAACACCGAGGCCGGGATAAAAAGAAATTCGTCTAACAGCAGCCGTGCAGCAGAGTCATGAGGACATCCAGGAAGGGTAACGTGGAAATGCCTGCTTTTATGAGACATCTGGTGAAAGAGACGGAGAAGAGGGTCAGCTCTTTCTTCAAAGGGGGCCGTGGAGGAGCAGCAGAGGGAGAACATCCAGGGGAGGGGGAGAGGGAGGAGGTCATCCCCAGCCCCTACCTGGACCGGCCGGTCATGGACAAGCTGACCGAGGAGGGCTGCGCCCGCTGGGGCCTCACCTACGCCCTGGGGAGCATGCAGGGCTGGAGGGCCAACATGGAGGACTTCCACAACTGCGTGCCACAGCTGGGTGGAGAGCTGGCAGACTGGAGCTTCTTCGCTGTGTTTGATGGTCATGCAGGCAGCACGGTGGCACAGTACTGCTCCCAGCACCTTCTGGGTCAGATCCTCGCCACAGGTGAAAGAGCTGAAACTGAACACGTGGGAATCATATCTTTTTTCCTGTAGAAAAGTCTCTTGTCACAGTTATCCTCTCTCATGAAACTCTCCATATTACTGTCTTATTCAATGCAATCATGTGTTTTTACGGAACACAGAAAACACTAAGTATTCCAACACTGTATTTGTTTGTGCACACAGGTGGGATAGGACCAGAGGACGACCCTGAAAGGGTGAAAGGAGCCATCATTGACGGCTTCCTGTACACAGACAAGCATCTGCACTCTGTGGCCCGTCGAGAAGGCTGGGAGAGGGGTGGCACCACTGTGGTGGCCGCTCTAATCTCACCGTATTACATCTACTTTGCTAACTGTGGCGACTCCAGGGCCATGCTGTGTCGGTCTGGCCAGGTATGCTTCTCCACTGAGGACCACAAACCTTACTGCCCTCTGGAGAAAGAGCGCATTGAGAGCGCAGGCGGCATTGTGTCCATCCAAAGGATCAACGGCTCCCTGGCAGTGTCTCGAGCTCTGGGGGATTTCAGCTACAAGGGAGCAGAGAACAGGATGCCCACGGAGCAGATGGTGTCACCAGAGCCGGAGGTGTGTGTGGTGGAGCGCTCGCCATCCGATGAGTTCCTGGTGCTCGCCTGCGACGGGGTGTGGGATATCATCAGCAACGAGGAGCTGTGCGCCTTCATCCACAACCGGCTGAGTGTCTGCACTGACCTAAGGGACGTCTGCACTCAAGTCATTGACCTTTGTCTATATAAGGTCAGGACCTGCTGCTTAAAACCAGTGTGCATGTAATCATAGTCCCTTTATTGCATTTCTACATGTCCAGTAGTTTCACCAGCAAATCCTTTTAACCGACCTAAACACAAAACACAATTCCAGGGTGAAGCTATGTTGCATAATTTTTAATGGGCAGTGGATTTTATATAATAACATAATCCCTTGAACTGTGACTGTACTGCGTTTGTTTAGCTTGAGCTGAAAGCTGTTGTGGTCATTCCAGTCATTGAGAAAAAAAACTGAGCTTTATGAAAATAGCTCATGGACAGTTTCTATACGATTAATAGTACATATGCCTCACTCCCAATCAATCTAAATATATATCCCTCAGTCCAAGGTGGGAAAACACCTTTCCTTATATCTAACTCTTTCTTCCCAACAGCTTTGATTAGACCATTACAACATGAGGGAACTTGTGTGTGTAATTAGGACTAACTGTTTTAGTGTGGAGTTCCTCAGGGGTGTGTGCTAGATACCCTGTTTTTTGTATATTAAGAATAGTTGGTCTATTCATACAAAAGGCAAAATGCACTTGATTATTCATTTGGAGATATGTTTCCAGCCAGCCAAAGAATATAAGTCTTACAATATTCATTTAATTGAGCTCTCTTTAAGTCTCCATCAACTACAAGAAAAACACGTAGCTCTGTTGCTAATTTATCCAATGGCTAATCGTTAACTTAACCATCTGCAGTTTGGTTCTGAGCAAGAAGCAGCTAAAAATGACACTTATGAGAGCAGTGACTATGAAACAAAACAGTACATTTGCATGTTGAAAACAAAACAATTAGCTGAAAGACACTAAAATGCATTTTCTCTATGGGTTTAGGAGTGACATCAAGCACATAATAGTTATGTAATCTAATGTTTTAAAAGTATTGATCATATTCACATTGAACACGTTCATACCCATATTGAAGGTCTAAAAGTAAACTGGATCATTATAAAAAAAAGCTTTGTTTTAGTCTCATAAAGGCTGTGGATGCTCTGTAAAACCACATTAAAATAGACCGCAGGGGTGTCAGAACAGGTTAGACCGGATTATTCTTGATTTCTATGTGTACTAATTTCAGCCACTCTTACTGAGTGAGTGTCAGATGATCAAAGGTTGATGTACAAGAACATGCAATTGCTCATCAAAGGTGTTTTTAGTAAAGAATCATTTCAGTTCAATGAAGGAAAATAATTTAATCATTACATCCAGAATTATTGCTGCTAGAATCGATGGTGTTTAGTGAAGGATCATTTTCACTATAGAGTAATTCATCTGTAGCATAACATATTAGCTTGTTAAGAGAAATTACGCTTTTCAGAAGAAAATGTTTATTGTGTTTAGTTGTGCCCTTTATTGGATTGATGCATATTTGTTTCTGAAAAGAACGACATCATTTAACAGTCAGAGAAACACATGCGCATGTGCACATGCTGATGTCCATTTTTGTCCGTCATGCCCATCATGCCAATCTGTTATGTAACTGAGCTTCAGCTTGGATGTGCACAATGACCTTAAAATATCACAGCTCCTTCCACACTCCATTAAAATGTTCCTGCTCCACTGCATCTGTTAGGTGACTTTGAGTTGAAATGGTCTATCTCAAAAACTATTCACCCATGATGTTGACATTTTGTACGGTCAGCCATTATTACTCACCTCTGTTGACTCCACTTTGCTCCACAGGGCAGCTTGGACAACATCAGCATCATCCTGCTGTGCTTCCCTGGAGCCCCCCAGCTGTCAGCAGAGGCTCTGCACCAGGAGGCCGAGCTGGAGGACCTGCTGGAGTCCAAAGTAGCAGGTGTGTGGCTAGAAATGACACGCAGGGGACGCTAATCCACTGTGACATTAGGCACTTGTTTTTATCATGTTTTGATATGGAAGGTCTGACACTTTTTTTCTTTATGGGGTATTTGGTTACCACCTGAGATGAAACACTTTCTTTCAATACGTATCTTAATTGATGCTAATGCCAAAACAATCAGCACATTTCTTGGACCAGTTCTCATTTTTAACCCTTTAAATCACAATATCATGCTAAACAAATGTTTTGTGTGTAGACAGAGCCTGCTATAGAACTCCATTGTTGCCAACTTGGGCTTGTTCCTTCATTAACAAAGCATGGGCACTGTAGTATACTGTCCTTATATGGTAATTACTCACTAAAACACCAAATGTGTATTATTCGCAAAAAGTCCCTTACAAATGCTACATTTACTACTGAGCAATGTAGGTTGTAATCTGCAGTTGGAAGCTGTTTTTGCTTATTACTTAGTATTTCACAAAAATGTAAATATTATTGTGTTTGACTCATTTTATGTTCGCACATTGTTCAGCAAGCACCAATATGTTAATTCAATTATTGGAAGGCAGTTTTGTTCCTTTTATGGTCAACAGTTTTGAACCAATATTAAAGAATATACATCCAAGGCTGTTTTTTTTAAGCTACATGTACAAATTATTTTTCATGTTTTTGTTTAAATATCCAACAGAGATTTACTCTGAGCTGTGCGCCAGAGGGGAAGAACCTGACCTGCTGTCTGTCCTCACACTCCTCGCATCCACAGTCATCCCTGGATTGCCACCAGGTGGAGGCATACAGAGCAAGTAAGAGACACAACATGATCGTGTGTGTGTGTTTTTTGTGTACCCTCTATTGTGAAATTACACTCTATTACTTCTATGTTTTGCAGAAGGAACTGCATTATTTCAGCTTACTATCAACAAAGAGAGCTTTACAAGCCCAATGTGAGTACAAACTACACATTTGTCCCTTTCAAGTCATCTACATGTTATTTCCCTTCACTATGCACAGTGTATTCACCATTATTTTCTCCACTACCTGTCTTTCCAGGGCATGATGTGAGGCTCCTGAGAAGCCCGGCTCATCGCCATGGGTCCATGGAGAGACTGTAATTAATGTTAAAACTGTTTTTCTTCATGCGTGCACTTTGACAAAAAGGGAGATGATGAACAGACAGAGATGTTTGTTTACATCATAGCAAGCAGCATCGTTTCATAACAAATACAATGCCAGAATAGATATAATAAAGCCTGATACATTTTATATTTATACAGAAGGACATTTTGTAAAACTTACTCAGAGACACTGATCCAGCAACAAACCTCTGCCTCATTTTCGGTGAACAGAAAATACAGACGGTTTTAAATCAATGTACAACTGAATAACAACCAGCTGCGAAATTGTACATTTCCTTTAGATGGAATAAGGAGTATGTGTTTGTAGAGTTATATTTTGAAGATGATGTTTTAAGAATAGATATAATAAAATATTTTTAAAGAATTTCAGTCTTTCCTCTTCAGGAAGGACAACTGTGTTAGCGCCAGCCAAAAGCTAGCCTAAAGCTAACATGCATCCATTTGTTTCAATAGGAAATGCTAACAGTGCTAGTGACTGGACAGCTGACGGGATTGCACACATTTATCTTTATCCTTCATAGTTGAGAAAAATATATATTCAATGTTTAATTCTACCAACAAAATGTCAATGCATACACACTTAGTCAAGAACATTTTTATTTCACACATAAACTAAACTATAACTTACTTTAAACATGTAGAATAAGAACCACTTGGCTGAAGTGATGTTTGGAAGAAGAGTTATTTGTTAAAATAATTAAAAAGTTTATACAGTAGGTTGCCGTTTCAAAAATCTAGACAAAATATCAAAAAATTGGCCAAACACCCTAAAGTCAATCAAAATCAATGTTACATGAACACGTTCTACATGACCAATTTCCTTGCAATTGTTTCTATATATTAATCATATTTCTGAATATTTTCTTCAATAAAGTGTATGTGAAATGTGTTTTTTCCATAGGTTTGATGAAATGTCATGTGCTGCCTTATACATATTTTATATAGTTGACAAAACAAACAGCATCAGAACAGTTCAGTTTAAGAGTTGTTCATTGTATCTGCATCATATACTGCATTGTGATATTAATTCTATGTATTATATGCTGTGAATAGACATTACATTTTAAGAGTCATGACTGTTTGGATGCTAAATAAAGCATATTTAATTGACGACTTGTTTTTGCCCACAATAACTGGCTAAAGAACTGCTTTTCTTATGTTTTAAACAGTGCGGACAATTCATCAAACGTGACCACTAGAGGAAGATGGATGATTTTGTCTCTAAGGAGGGAACTTTTCTGCTCACACTGATATAAACCTTTAGATACAGAAAGACACAGAATGGATTCAAATGTGTTTTCTTGCATAGTAGAGGATCTCCTCCAGCTAGGAGGAGATCCTGAATCTTGTTCTCCCTTCTGTTGACTATCCGTACAACACTTGTTGGCTTAAGGACGTCCTCTACAGGCCACGTTTGATTAGATGTGCCTTTTTGAAAACCCTGGATATCTGCTGTCTTTCATGATTACTTTGAATTTCAATGACATGCGTTGACGAAACAAAATGGACAGCTTGTGAGCAATCAACAAATTAAAATGTCTTGGTGCTCATGAGCTCCTGTAGTGCCTATAAGGAGCGCTGTTTAAATACAAATCACAACTTAAATGTTTTATCTATGCAGGTAGTTGAGTAGATATCGTGTTTATGCCTGTATGTTAACTAATACTGACTACCACACTACGTTTAGCCGTGTTTATTGACGTGGGCAGGGGACATGTGCAGCACTCTTAAATCAGCAGGCCCCTTTAAGTGCTCCTTGGTAGCTTCTTTCGTCTGATTGCTTTTGAATGAGCCAATCACTTCAGGACATCAGACCCCTCTTCACAGTGATGCTGAATTCTTGAAATCTTGTTTGTCTTCGTTTCAGTCTTTCTCTACATAGAACAAAATGTAATCAATTATTTGACGTCCAGAATCAATGCTGGAGGTCTGCTTTTACCGGCATAGACTCCCATTGAAATTACTCAGAGAGGTGCTGAACAGACTCTAATTAGAGGGTGTTATTTTATATTCAGGATTTGGATTTGTCATGGGACAAATTATTGAGTTTCTCTAAATAACTTGGTAATAGAACATGTCTAATTAGGGCTCCAATAGAAGGCAATGCACATAATGCCCTCGCGTTGGGGCTACCTATCCACACTGGTTTCCTGTAGGCGATTATTCATAATGGCCAGGGCGCCCACACCTCCAGAGAATCCATTTTGATGGCCGTAGCTCTGCCGCGGGCCCTGGTGAGCAGTCTCACTCAGCTGCTTCTGCAGCAGAGCCAGTGACACCTTATTGGACACCATTAACTCATTGACAGAGATCATCTCTCCTGACAGACGACGGCCAACATACGCCCCATCAGCCACTGTGCCTGCGTCCGTCTCACTGTCACACACCGTCTCCACCGAGCCGTCCCTGTAGCAGTGTCTTCCTGCAGGGCAGTGGGAAGCCATGGGCTGCACAGTGTTGGGTTTTAAGCGTTTTCTTCTGAGGTGTGCAGGCGGATGCAGGCGGTTGCGATTTTTTTTCTGGAGGCAGGGGCAGCAGAGCCACCGGCAGCCAGATTTGGAGCAGGAGCAGAGCCGATGCCGGCCCGAGCACACCAGCTTCCCCACGATCCAAGTAAGAGTTTGCTTGATGATAATAGAAATTACATTAAAAAGTGAGTAGATGCAACACACCCCCATCAAGATGAACAGACAATTCCCGAGCCGGTAGGCCTCCTGCGACTCATACTGCTGCCTCTGACTGCTCACCAGGTCCCCGAAGCCGATGGTGCTGAAGGCCACAAAGCAGAAGTAGAGGGAGTCCACATAGCTCCAGTTCTCCATAGAGCTGTACAGGGTGGAGGCGCTGCACGCAATCACAACCGATGCCACGCCCAGGATCAGCATCACATAGTAAACCGACGGTTTCCATCCTTCCAGGCTGTCCTCCTCACCAGAAGACTCCTCCCTGCTCGACTCCACCCCGGCACACCTCAGCCGACGCTCATGGCACCAGCGCATGATGTAAGCTAACATCGTGATGATCCTCTCCAGGAATAGGTTGAAGAAGAGGATGGTGGCAGCACAGCCGATAAGACCGTAGAAGATTAGGAATATTTTCCCAGCTATCGTCACCGGTGTGGTCATGCCAAAGCCTGGAGAAGAGCCAAAACAAAAGGTTAAAAGGTCAAAGTCAACCATTGTGGAATTCGTATCTCATGAAGATAATCTTAGAAAAGCTTCAAGGCTTACCAATAGTGGAGACGACCGTGCCCACAAAGTAGAAAGCTCCAGAGAAGTCCCAGCGAGGCCTCAGGGTGTCCACTCTGATCCCAGCTCCGTTCGCCTCCTCGTACTGCCGCAGCAGAGTGTGCAGTGCTCCCAGGTTGACCCTGTATCGCTGCGTGAAGTTTTCCAGCTGCTGTTTCCAGAGGCGGCGGGCACGCAGCTCAAAGGGGTGCTCCAGGGCTGAGAAGATGGCAGCACCGCACAGCAAGTAGAGCAGGATGAGGCCGGCCAGCAGGCAGAAACGAGCATTGTCTTCATTCATGGGCGCCCGGGGGCAGCAGCAGCCACCGGCTCTCCTGTGAGCCATGAGCTCAGCAGCAGCAGAGAGACACCAACCTGCACTGTGTTGCGTGCATCACCCGGCACACAACATACATGCACTGCCTAAATAAAGCACTTTTTGTTTACATACGCAGCATTACATTTGGCTGTAAAATTGCTGTTTAGAGTCATTTCTTGGAAGTCAATCGGCTGCTTTAATCATTTATGAGAAGAAGAATAAAAAGCATCTGGGGAAAATAGCCTGTAAGAAAACAAAAAATATATATTTTATTGAAGTATACAATGCAAATATTTGATTACCTTCATTTTCCCCCTATAATTAAACAATTGCAACACAAATAATTTTTTCCCTTTCTTTAATCTTTTGCAAAACTGTTTATACTTTATTTTTCAACTAGAAAAAGCTGACTAGCATCCAATACAATGTAAATATGTAATTACCGTTATTAATACGTAATATTTTCAACCACACAAATCTCACAAAAAACATACATGCCATAGTTAATTGACTTAATTCAGGCTAAATCAGTAACAGTTTATATGTATCCACTCACAGATCAATTTGAAGTTTAAAAGTTTAAAAAAATAAAGATGGTACCTGTTCTCGTAGACAGCAGTGTGCGTTGCCGCTCCGCTGTGATCTGCTGCACAATGACCAGCGAGAGGAAGTCTCTTGAGCTGTTTGTGCAAAGCGAGAGGCTGTCTGATGTTTCATCTGTCACACACTGACATCACCACTGCCCACCCCTCTGTCTTTGAGCACAGCCTGATTGGACTCCTCATCTCTTCATTTTGAAGCAACTACTTACCTTTTTCTAGCCTTCATCACACCCAATTCAACTTCAGCGCAACAAGTGACCCAAGGTTTGCTTTATATATTTGGTCCTATAATCACTGATCCTATAATCACTGATTGTAGGACCTGATTTGAATTTTAATTCTACCCTAATATTCAGCAGTGGCATAAGCATAAGACAACTGTCATGTGACCAGAAACTCACCACATTTTGAACTGACTGAATTATAAGAGCAGAGCTGGCCTCTCTGTCTTCACCACCACTGAGGTGCCTTTGTGCAAGGGGGCTTTTTGTTGTTGCTGCAGACTGTGTGGGAGGATTTGTTGGGCATGACTTTCAGTTTCTCTGTCTGCTCATCCCTTTAATCTCGTCTGGTGGCGCGGCCGAGGGCAGGGGTTCCCTCCGCCTGCCGTCTGATGGCTGAAGCACAGGTGTGGAGACAGAAACACATCTGCCTTCATCTCTCCACTCAGCTCTGCATCAGGTGTTGAACTGCAGGTTGTGTCATGTTCTGTTTATAGTGCTGAAATATATGCCTGTAAAAGGGTATTTTTGTGACAGTTATTACATCAGTACAAATAAATGAATCCATCAACGTAGTACTAAAAATTGATTTGGCAATAATAAACAAAAAGCTTGGAATCTTTCACTATATACAGAATTTGAATATGACATTGTACTCTACACTGAATATATGTAATATAAGTTTCAATAACAAGTATTAGGTTCAATTTAATATTATTGCTTTCAACTAACCAAGTACAATTATGTGTAATTTGATGTGACACATAATACATTTAATTTAAGTTTTTTCAGTCCCTTTCAAGTACTCCAAACCAACATGCAAGTAACAATAATATAAATAGGTTTTACTTAATTTGTTTATTTTAATACAGTTTTGATTCATATTTGTAGCCAAAGGTAAATTTCACATCAATCTGCAATTAATCAAACAGTATTGTTTTGTTTTGACAGATCAACTGTCATGTATGAAGAAATGCACCATCTGCTTGATATTGATGTTTTAGATTATACAAAACAGTCCAAACATCAAACGTTATACTTGTAAAGAAGATAACAACAGCAGGTTTGCATTAGTCACCCCTACACTGAAGAGAGAAAGGTGCAAATTCAAACCGCCAAGGTGTGCGCTGCAGGAAGGACACGAGGGGAGTTTTATACCATTTAAAAACTCTGTCTGGCAATGACAACCAACTACTGACAACAAGTCGCTAAAAGGTTATGATAGCATTAAAAAGTCACTTGTCTCTAAAAGATTAAAGTATAAATAGTGTGATATTACTCAGTTAGCTGATTAAAAATGTAATGTTAATCTACTAGTGCTTCTTTCCATGCTATCGGCTCTTTGAGGCTGTAGGTAGGAACAATGTGCTTTGAGCTTAATGCTAATGTCATAATGCTAACATTTTACCAGATTACCATGCTAGCATGTACTAAATTGCAGTAAACACTAAAGCGGAGGTATCAGTTTTGTAAATGTTGAGTATTGGGCAAACTACAATTGTGTGTCGCTACGTCATGACAATCTAGTACGTTTCACTGAAATGTCAACCTTATTGTGCTAAAGTGGAAGTCAAAAAAGTCATGAGGAATTATCTTAAGGGCACCATGAACTAAATAAAATAGGTACATTTCTTGAATAGTAAATAATGTAAATAATATAAATGCAATGTTAAAAATCGAATTAATAGCCCCATCTTTCACTATGTGCAAAGGTCTGATATTGTTAGACCACAAGAAACACCCTAATTATCATTGGTCTGAACTATTAACATAAACTGACACATACCTTGATTTGATATCCATTAAAGCTGCAAAGCATAGTGTTTAATTTCTCAATCTAGTGTTTAAAACAAATTATGATAATATGCAAACAAATGAATTAATGAAAAGCAGGAATGAATGTCCACTTTGAACGTTTTAGCACCATTTTCTTGACAAAGTGTGACATTTAAATCTCCAGGCAGAAGGAGCAGCCATTTCTTTGGCCTATAATTGCTTGTGCCATGTTTTTCCTGAAATAATGAGCAGGCTACCTCGAGACATTTGGATTAGCTGCGCTGAGGCTGGACAGTTAGATTATGTTTGACTCTTATTGTGTAAGATCATTGTTAGTGGCAGATCGGTGCAGGCTAGTTTATGTCTATTCAATCAGTGGTCAAACTTTAAGAGGCTCAGGTTGAGATTTCATGGATCACCAATGACCTTTTGACCAATGGTGTGGGCCTAATTAGCAGGAAATAATTTATTTGTGAGCACATTTTGCAAAATGTGTTGGTATCGCAATAAATCCCCCTCATAATGCGTTTTCCAATATAGTTAATCCCATAATTCTGACAAGCCATTTCAGAGTCAAGAAGTCCATCGGCAGTCACTCACTTCCATTGTGAGTCTTAAAGGAAAGATTAAGAGTAAATGTCCACATTTTAAGAGGGGTATTCAGGTCAGTGGCAGCATGTTGGACAGTATATCAATGAGGTTGTCTAGACCCCACAGGTAGCCATCTTCTCTATTGCCCTCCACCCAGGGAGTGCGGTGGTCCAAGGAAAGGTGTGCCGGCAATGCCGCTGTCTTTCCAAAGTCAATCATCCAGACTCCTGTTCTGCCTTTCCAGTCATGAAGGAACAATAAGGAACTGCCCACGACCTGCAGGGATAAAGCTGTTAGGGAAAAGATCCTCCTCTGGACAAATGTGATTTATTATCAGACAAAGCCTGTTACACCAGTAAATAAAAAGAAGGTCTAAATGTCTAACCTCATGTGTTCTGAAGAAGACGGATTCTTCCAAGACCTGCCGCAGTTCTTTCAATCGTCTCAGATAGCCCCACTGAAGGGAAAGAAACAAGATTTAAAAAGAGAGGAAATAGAACACATGATCAAGTAAATGAAATCCAGTGAAGGTCACACTCACCACAATGTGTGTATTTGACTCAACAAAGTTGTTGAAAGCTGCCATCACTTGATCTCTGCTTTTGGTCCTTTTGAAGTTTGTGTGACATTCTTCATTTGACTTCTGCACAGGAAACAAACAGGTCACAGCATTATAATGCAAAACTAAAAACCTGAATCCAACACAGTGTACCGTTAAACTATGAATTCAGACATTTATTGCTGCATTCCTAAAATATTTAGTTTAACATCTTTTATTTGCTACACATCAAGATGAGTCAATAACCTCACAGAACTGCCTTTGATGAACTTTGGAGCTTACCCTGAATCCTTCGATACGGAAACCCAGAGACGTGGTGGAGCTCAGCGTCTCCCTCCACTGCATGTACCTGGTTTTCAGCACTGCCTGCTGGGTTCGCTCCTGCACCGTAGGGGCCTCTGGGTCCACTGCCACCATCTTCTCATACATGTCGTTACGGGGCTGCGGCCGCTCTTTGGCCAACAGCAGCTCCCTCTCCAGGTACGTGCTGTAAAGGAAAGTGCCTCACTGTAATTAGACTGGAGCTAATTAACTGCATTTAAAGCTATTAAAACTGTGAAAACAAAACAGGAACATTATGCTTTCACATAATTCAGGTCAAGTCTAGTTTATTTATGTAGCATATTTCACAACTGGCATATACTGAATGTGATTTGAAAAAAAACATACATGATCAAAAGGAATAGGTTAATAAAGTACCATTATTAATATTAAAAAGAGAAAATGTACACAGATTCTAAAATAAAGTAAATGTGTAATGTTGCTTTAAATAGGACCTCATACATTTGTCCTTACAGAACAGATGTTCAGTCTAATACATGTATGTGTGTTTTATAATGTAGTTTTTCAGCTTCCAATATATTGATATGGAGGATATAAGGTATTTTACTGCTGAATTATGTCTCCCCATTCAAATGTGTCTAAGATAAAACCCATTCACTTCTCTCGGTGACAAGATATGATCAGTTAACGCTCACCGGCTGCCCATCTTGCAGTCCATGACGGCAGGTGTGTTGAAATGGGTCAGCAAGTTATCCATCATGTTGTAATCCTGCTCGTCCCGCTGCACTACCCCGTGGTAGGCTGGAACAAAGGGCTTTAAAGTGTCCTCCATCAGCCTGAGGTAGCACTGTTGCTCTCCCTCACAGAACCTCTTCAGCAGGGTGCCGTAATCCCCAACATGAAAGCTCCCTGTGGAGACAAGCGAGGAAAGAAAACAAGCCACGGATATATTTTTTTTAGACCAAAATAAGACCCTTTGAGAAGCAAAAGGAAAGTGAGACAAACCTGCATGTCCGACCACTTGCAGCCACTGCTGGGGTTTCTTTGGGGTCATGGGGAGGAGAGATGTAGTCCCACAACTTTTATGATTCTTCCATGTGGAGTTCTGCATGTAAAGACTAAAAAACAGTCAGTATTTCTGTAGCCAACACACACACACACACGCCAGGTCACACTCCCCTGCCGCTGCAGCAGACTTCAGACTCAGTCACTCGCCTTTTTGCCTTATGGGTGAACAAGGTCTCCGTGGTAACAGCCCTTTACCAAGACTAAGTGAAGAAAGGAAGGGGTCGGCTCCGAACTTGTGCAACAGGTTCATCAAACATTTACAGGAAGCACTTGTTTTCTACTGAAAGCTGTTATTAAACACAAAACCAAACAGCACAAGGCGTATCACGCAGATATCAGCAACTGGAAGTCTGTTTCAAGATTTTTTGTGATGTTTAAAATGTGATGACACAATTATTTCAATTGATGTGTATAGGGAAAAATTGATAATGTTTATATTATTATAATTCAGATAAAACAAATTAGTGGTACAAGCTTCACACAAAGATATTCTTTGTTCTATCTGTTCATTACATTTGTTTATAGGATAACTTACTGTCCAGGCACTACAGATTACAAACTAACACTGTCCCTGTTAAAAATAAAATAAATAAATCAGATGATTTTCAATTAGAAATGTATACTGTACATCAGCACTGTTTTGGATTGAATGCATCCTCATTCGTAAGGCTTTATTATTATCATTGATTAACATTATATAATATCATATCAAGGAATAAATCTGATAAAATACTTCTGTATTTCGTTCTGCATAAGTCACATTTTGTAATGCATATTTTAGATAGTCATACTGCTCCTGTATCTGATACTATTTTCCATCTTCTTCCTCTGGAGGCAGTGAGTGTTCACCGCCGCTGGAGGGCAGCGGTCCTCCGGAACGCGCGAGCCTATGTGAAGCAGCAGAGGAAGAGGCGGCGGAGCAAACTGAAGAAGAAGAATTTAACGGTTCCCGGTTGTTGAACCGCTCCCGTCTCCACGGTGCCGCGCCGGTGCATCCACAGTAGTTCTGACTGTGCTGTCACCTCCCATCAAGCGCCTGGCTCTTTCACCACCTCACCTCGCTGGCCGCTTTGTTTTACAACGTTTAGCTATGTGTTGACAACTTCCCTCATTACGGATCGTTTCTGCGACCAAAGGTAACGTTAACGTTTTTTGTATACATGTGTTGCGTTCATTCAAACACTGATCAATCACACACTGATCGTGCACACACGGATAATGCACACACTGATAACATTATTCATGTGGTTCACACACAGATAGCTCGGTTAGCTATCTGCGAGTCAAGTTAACTGACAATGATCTCAATGCTAGCTAACCTTAGCTAACGTTCAGTTAACCCCAGAAAATGAGTAGAAGATAACGTCGCGTTATTTAAATACAGTGTAAAAGCCCACCACGAACAGTTGTTAGAGCCGACCCTCAAACTGAATGGTAATGTTGTGAAGTAACTATGCCAAACACGCAGTTACCCGAGCGTGTGTTTGTGTGCATGTCAGTGAAAGATGAACACACATTCATGTCGCTTTCACTCGCACGGGAGAAAGTGAAGTCAAGCGCGAAATCTAACACCATTGTACCGCAATAATAAAGAGACACAATTAGCAACGTACCTCGTAAAACATGTCTCAAGTCATTTGCTGAGTCCTCAACGTAGGATATGACCAACCAACCAGAACTTTTCTCCAATAAAAATGATGACACCTTTTTAAAATGGGCTGTTTGGCTCACTACCGCCCCGTGCGGTGTGTTGTGATGAAGACAGCATGTGAGAGGGCAGTACACACCGTGAAATAGGAAGATAAATACAGAATAATGATATAGTTTCGTTTAACACAACTATTTATAAATACAGCTAAGTCCAAGCCAGCAGACCTCTATTTTCTATAGTGGGGTCAACCCTGTGTTTAATGTACTCATGTACTTTGCCGAAACAATCCCATGAGTGGAAAACAGGACATGCACATAATACCTGCACAACCTGATAAACTCATAATGTGGCTTCTAGGTTCTTATCTCAGGCCATGACCCCACTTGTAGGCATATCAAATACTCAAAAACTCTTTATGTTACATTTTAGGATTGATTTTAAAAGAATTAACAGTTGCACCGATTCAGATTCCCTTTAAAACTTCCTAAATAACATGTAATCAGGTTCCGATTTGTCCAAATGTGCCAAGACGTTTGATATGATTTTAATCCTCAACACCTACCAGACTTTGCGCCATCAGTTAACATTAAGTCCATGTTTTTTGCAGACTTAGCAAGATGTTGAAAATGTGTTTTCTTGGTCAAATCAGGGTTATAATGAGGCTTAATATATGTCCCTGACCTCAGATGTATGTAGCTCTATGACATGACAATTCCTAACCATATAGAATCTTGTAAAAAGTCCAACTAACATTATAACCAAGCTGTTAAACAGAAGGTAGTTAATTGATTCCTGTACTTCTTGATTCTTAAGATCAATTTATTTCTCCCACCCAGACTCAGAGCGATGGAGGAGGGCTCTGAGGTGGTGGAGGATATTGTATTTCGAGGAGTGGAGTTTTCTGTGAAGATAGAGGTGGACAAGGGTTTGCTGATAGTTGAAATATCTGACGCTATGACGGCAGATCAGTGGAGAGGGGACTTTGATCCAGCATGTAAGTAGTAGCATAATGCATCTATAATAGATATAATGTCATACCAGGCACAAATATTCTCACTCACACTATTTTAATACATTTTTTTCAGACATCGAAGACCTCACCCGCAAAACTGGCAACTTTAAGCAATTCCCTATCTTCTGCAGCATGTTGGAATCAGCTGTTAGAAAGGTATGTTGGAAGGGGCCCTAATACAGAATGGTACAACGATGCAGCGGTGGCACAAACGCATGCAGTCAATAGAAAGATGTGGACAGACTCGGATCTGCTCGAGGCTGTGTGAGCTGAGGCGAGACTCATTCATTCGAGTTCAATGTTTCCACTTGAGCGCAAAATGTACAGTTCTCTCTAGCTGTCAATGAGACAGCTAGAGAGAACTGTATTCCCTCTATGCCTTTCATTAATGTTGAGGAACAGAGTCCAAAAGGAAAAGGCCTGGAGGAAAATAAGAGAAACAATTGCACATTTTGGTACATTTAGAAAGCATTGTTGAAGTCCTTTTTCCACAAAACTACCAGGGATGTTTATATGATATTTACTTACACAGTACTTGTTTTGTCACATGACATTTGGGGAAGTATGGTTGGTAATTTGCTGTGGTCAATTTGGCAGATTCAGGTCAACCTCTGCCATTATTATAAATGACTGGATGTCCCCAGGTAATACTAGTCCAGGTGAAAAAGGTCTGTTTTATTTCAGTTGCATGGTTAACTTGAGTTTTTTCTGCAGATGAGTGATTCTGTTACACTTGACCTCTTGACCTACGCCGACTTGGAGCTGCTCCGTAACAGAAAAGCCGGAGTGGTTAGTCGTCCTCGTGGAAATCAACAGTCCTCTGCTCTCACTGCCAAAAGATATCTCATCCTCATATACACTGTGGAGTTTGACAGGTTTGTGTCTCATACACATCACATTTGAAACATTATTTAGTTGGTGACCTACACATTTTTACTTTTCAATATTTTGTGTATACAACTCATGATTTACTGACTTGTTTGTGCTTGTAGGATACACTACCCGTTACCCCTACCCTATGTGGGTAAGCCTGACCCCGCCGCCCTGCAGAAGGAAGTCAGAGCTCTGAAAGCTGAGCTCAACACTGTCTCCTCTCATGGAATCAACAAAGCTGCACAACAAGAAATCCAGCAGCTACGAGCAGAGTAGGTGGCTTTCCATCTTGGTGTCAAATATAAAGGGATGTGGGACTTTTTTTTTTAACTGTCTGCTACTGTTTCCAAGGCTGGCTCTGGTGAAAGAAGAGAAGGAGGCCATGGGTAATGTGCTGGAGCGACTGCAGATCGGTGGAGGTGGTTCGGTGGCGGGACGAGAGGACAGGAGGGGGCGAGATGTGGTGAGGCATCTGGAGGAGCAGCTCCTGAAGGAGAGGGCCAAAGGTCAGCGCTCAGCCAGCAAAAGATGCCAGGACCAGCAACTCCTCATGGAGCAGGTGGACCTCTTCTGCTGCTCAAAATAGTCAAAAATAATTTATTTTGTTTCCTTTTGTGACTAACATGTTTTTATTCCCTGTCCTGGCTAGTTTGAGGGTCTGAGAGCATCAGAGTGCGCTCTCCGTGTTCGGGTCAAGAGTCTCAGCAGTGAACTGGCGTTACTACGGAGAGGGTTAGACATTCTCAGCGTGTACTATATCTTTACTTTCTCTCTCTCTTCTATTCATTCACTTACAATGTAGACTAGTACACGTGAATATAGATGACCTGCTAACGTAGCACACACCCTCTTTGTGTGTCTGCAGGAGAGTGACTCCTGGTCACATCAGCTCTCGAGGGGATGGGGAAGCCTATCGCTCTCTGTCCCGCGAGAGGAGGTCGGGGTACGGGACAATGAGGGCTCGCTCGGGGTCCAGAGAGCGGATTGAGGACAGAGGGCAAAGGTCAGAGGAGAGGGGAAGGAGAGCGGACTCTTCGGGACCGCGTGCTTCCATACGCAGGCCGTCAGCTTCTCCCACAGGTACTGGCTGTGCCTTTCTATATTTAAAAAAGGCTAAATCAAATTTCTGATCTTTGTCCTGATTTTTTTTTCTTCCTTTTTCTCTTACAGGGTCCCAGGTTCAACGCTTTGACCCAACTGCTTACATACAGGACAGACAGCGCAGACAGAAAGACGCAGACCTCAAAAAGTTGGTGTCAAACAATTGTTTTGCATATTTGACACCCTTACATTTGCTCAGAAAAGCTATTGTAACCCTGTGTTTTGTTTCAGACAGAGGAAGGTACGGAGGGACATTCTCATCTCACCCAGCGTCCCAGAGAGGGGGCGTTCACGCTCCAGGGACGCCTATCCTCACATGGCCCGGGCCGGCAGCAGAGGCAGGAGCTTATCCATAGAGCGGAGAGGGAGCAGGAACTCCTCTGAAAGCTCCTTAGTGGATATGGAAGAAATGTCCAAAAATCTGTTCAGGTGAAGGCATTACATCTGGATAGCTTCTGTAAATGATCTGTTGTTATAACTGGGTATTTAAATGTCTGTTTTTCTATGTTTGCAGAGGAAGAAAACAGACCTACAACGGACCCAGTGTGGTGAGTGGCCTGGTTATAAATGTACCTCTAGTTAACTGTTTATTGCTGCGCTATCATTTGTATGTAAAATATGGTATATATATTTATATACTGTCAACAAATCCCCCAAAAAAGACCAAATCAACAACTCTAAATACTGTCCGACTCCAAGGTGTCATATCTCCAACCCTATATGTTCTTCCTGAAGATTTTTTTTTAAGTAGTTGCAAATAAATAGTTACCTTACTTTATTAATTTCCTTAAAACATTCAGGCCCTTATGTCTTCATCATTTTTTTTAAATAACAGTGAGTTGCATCTTTTTGTATGGGATCATTTTCATCTGTACATTTTAACACGTTTGACACCAGTGCGTATTTAATTCTGCCGGCTGGTATAAATTGGATGGACTCAAAATAGAGTGCCTATGTTCATCATAATATAGGAACATGTAACACAGTGCAAGATGTGTGTTTTAATCCTTGTTTTACCAACAATGGATATTTTACACACGGAGGAAAAAGCTAAATATTTAAAGCTTTGGTTAAACAGACGATGATTGTTAGTTAAGTCCACCACCTAGAATACATTGATAAGTTTTGGGTTTTTCAGACAAAAAATACAGAATGATGGCGCCTCCTTTTTAATATGCGGTTTATCGGTTTCTAGTCTAGAGGAGGCATTTCGACCAGGAAGCAATTATGCAGTACTCCAACCCACAGAATGAAAGACAAAGGTAATTAGTCCACGTCTTTTAACATTTTTCTGCAATAACCCTATAAAAAAAGGTTAATCCTATAATACCATTTCTGTTTCCCACCCCAGAGAGCTCCATAGATACAGGAGCTGAGCTGTCGGACATCGATGCCCGGCTGCTGGCCCTGCAGGAGTACATGAGGGACCTGGACACAGGACACTAACAACACAGCATGGTATATCTGAAAACTGCACAATGTGGAGCTCAGGCCATCTTTATTTTGTTTTATTACCGTGAAAAGACTGAGGAACGGTATGAGACCACTGCTCATGTAAGAGACTAAAACCCAGAAGCTCAGATCCAGGCCTTCAGGACAGCTGCAGCCATCACTGTGAAGGACTACTCTGTTGACTGAACTCTTATGTTTTTTAATATACCACGTTTTTATAAATTAACTTAAAGATGTCTGAGTGTATCGTTATCCTTTCTTTCTCAACACCTGACCAACACTAGTTACATGGATGTAAATGTTTGGCAGTCCTTAAGTAATTTATTTTCGTCCCTACTCACTGTCGATGTGTGTTCTTTCCTTTTTTGGTCGATGGAGAGCACAACACGTGTTTTCTCTAAATGTGTGTCATCATTTCTAAACACATTTGAACCAAGCAGCTATTTTAAATAAAATGTGAATAAGTGCGAATGTGTTTAACATGTTAACCAGAGTGTTGAACCTGCGATGGACTGCTGTGTCTGCCCACTGCGGTGATTTTGTGGTTAAATGTCATTGCAGCCTAATTCTGCATTTTATATCCGTATGTTGTTAAATTAGCTCTATTTCCTGCTAGACCTTGAACTCAACATTACCAGCGATCCAACCTTTTAGTTTATCCACGTAGTGCATTAAAATGTTACATTTTCTATTTTGTGTGACCGAAAGTAGACCCAATTTTCCATAAAACATATGAATCTTTGGTAACATTGGTGTAAGGGAACAATACTTATCTGCAAAGATAAATGATATGCCAAGTGTGAGAACACAGACTCCTTTTCTATGATCGTGAAATTGCCAAATTTTGTATCAACTGTACGTTTTTCAAAGACTGTAACTCTATTTTTCCCCAGCCTAATGTCTTTTATACCTTCTAAAAATATAATTTATAAGAAACATATCCGGTTTTGTTTTTTTTGCTTCCATTTGTATACGCACTGGTTAGTTTTAGCACAGGTGAAGTGGAGCCCGAGGGAAACCTTGAAGGGTTTTCACCACTGCAGCTGGCTTGCTTTCATTAATTAACAAATAAACATGCAGGCACGGAGCCGTCCTCTCAGGGGAACACGCTCAGTGGCTGAACAGCTGCTCCCGATCTACCAGGAGAATCAGACTGTTGTTGCTTAATGTCATGAAGGAAGTGATAGCAGCACACACTTACATTTAAGATATGCATACAATTTCAGAGGATGTACATTTTGTAAAGATCAAGTCCTACATGACTAATTCACAGCTGAATCAGTCTTTTTAAAAGCTTTAAAAAACCATGAACAGATATTCTCACTATTTACACCTAAATCTCCTCTACCAGAATAAAAAGGGAAATTCATACACATGGACTAAAATATCCAATTTCTAATCTTTTGTTCATTTATTAAGGAATAATCACAACTGTGCAGTTCAATAACAAAACAAGGTTTATTTGAAGGCATGTACAGTACATCTACTGTGAGTGTAACCATCAAACTGATCCTCAGTAGCTGAAATAGGCACTCGTTAATTTGCAAATTATAAAAGACATTCATAGAGCCTAATATATCCTGCAGTTAAAGTGCTCAAAGTGTTAAAAAATGAACCTGAACATTATTGATAAAAGGAAAAAGGAGATGCTGTTTTAATGATATGTGCACTCAGATTTTCTTAGTGTTGAACAATAATTCAACTCACTGGTTGAGCAATGATGAAGAGCAAAGACATAATTTTCTTTCCTAATAAAACATGACTTTCTTGTTCAAGTGTGTCCCGGCTGGGTAACAGTGGTCGTGGTCGCGGCCGCCTGTATCTCTTGCATCCTGCGTTTTTTCAGGATGTCCGTGATGCCGAGTGTGAGCTGTGGGGGGGGGATGTAATGGAAACGTGAGAATGGCTGTTGGTACATATAAGACATGAGCTCCCATGTAGAAGTGACTTACTGTCTGCTGATGTGTGAGAATGTCCTGATACAAGGCCTGTCTACGTTCCCGCTCCTTCTCGTCAAACGCTTTCCAATTCTGAGCTTTGGTCCTAATCTCAGCCTCCGGCAGCTCGCGATTCTGCTGCTGCTGCTTCTGAAACATCGTAAAGAAATGGTTACACACACACACAAGAACTTTCCTATCTGAACTGTAGCATACAGTTGGTATTGTGAGCCATGTGTATCCCTGGTTATCTGCAAAGTAATGTTTTGGGGATGTAAGGAGAGTTGTATTATGTTTGTTTGTGGGATTAGCACATTTGAGAATGGTTTGCCAATTCTCTTTTTGAAAATCTGAATAACATTTTTTTTACTACAAAGATGCTAAACTATAAAAGTGGTTATGTATCTACTTCTACCATTGGTGATGACAACATATAGACACAATTATCTATACAGTATATACCAGAATAGTATACAAAATGATCAAAAATCATAGATTATGTGTAGCTCTACATTTTAAATCCTTAAGTACCTCAACCAGGCTTTGTCTGTCAGCAGGATGACCAACCAACAACTGCCCTCAATTTCATGAGGCTTGTTGAAATGGTGTATCTTGGGCCAAGGAAGAACCCATTACATTTTGGAGTGGATCCAAATCCGTGCTTTTCCCATGCTCTACTATTTGTATTAGTACTTGTTAGTAAAACAATTGTATTTAATATGAATAAATCCCAGCTTTAGTTATCTTTGTTTTCATCTTTACGTTTTTTGGAGGATGAAATGTAGACACACCTGGTTACTACACTGCTCAAAAAAATGAATGGAACACTTTTTAATCAGAGTATAGCATTAAGTCAATTACACTTCTGGGATATTGTTCTGGTCAGTTAAGTAGAAGAGGGGGTAGTTAATCAGTTTCAGCTGCTTTGGTGTTAATGAAATGAACAACAGGTGCACTAGAGGGGCAACAATGAGACAACCCCCAAAACAGGAATGGTTTTCCAGGTGGAGGCCACTTCCTCATCTTTTCTGACTGTTTTCCACTAGTTTTGCATTTGGCTAGCCGCTAGGGTCAGTGTCACTACTGCTAGCATGAGGCGATACCTTGACCCTACAGAGGTTGCACATCAATACGTGACATTGCCAGAAGGTTTGTTGTGTCACCCAGCACAGTCTCAAGCGTATGGAATAGATTACAGGAGACAGGCAGGTAATGTAGGAGAGCTGGACAGGGCCGTAGAAGCTCCTTTGTGCAAGGAGGAACAGGATGAGCACTGCCAGAGTCCTACAAAATGACCTGGTGTGAATGTGTCCGAACAATCAGAAACAGACTTCATGAGGATGGCCTGGGGGCCCAACGTGGAGCTCAATTGGCATTTGCCATAGAACCCCAGAATTGACAGGCTTTTCACAGATGAAAGCTGGTTCCCCCTGAGCACGTGACAGACGTGAAAGGGTCTGGAGAAGCCGTGGAGAACGTTATGATGCCTGTAACATCATTTAGCATAACCAGTTTGGTGGTTCAGTGATGGTCTATCCATGGAGGGACGCACAGACCTCTACAGGCTAGACAACAGCACCCTGACTGCCATTAGGTATCAGGATCCTTGGACCCATTGTCAAACCCTACGCTGGTGCAGTGAGTCCTGGGTTCCTTCTGGTGCACGACAATGCCCGGCCTCATGTTGCTAGAGTATGCAGGAAGTTCCTGGAGGATGAAGGAATTGATACCTGACCTAAATCCAATAGAACGCCTCTGGGACATTACGTTTCGGTCAATCCGAAGCCGCCAGATTGCACCTGAGACTGTCCAGGAGCTCAGGGATGCCCTGGTCCATTTTGAGTTTTTGCAATGGAATTACTAGCCTGCCGCATCAATTTTCCACTTTGATTTGTGGAGTGTCTTTGAATTCAGCCCTCTGTAGGTTGACCATTTTCATGTCCATCAAATGATGTGGCATTCTTTCGTTCCTAACACATTACCCAGTCCATATCATTATAGATATCCAGCATGATTTATTTTCCCATTGAGATCTGATGTGTTTTCAAAGTGTTCATTACATTTCTTTGAGCAGTGTAGTTACATTGAAAAAAATGGACCCTCATTTTAAATCCCCTTATTAAAGGTGGGGTAGGTAAGTTTGAGAAACCGGCTCGAGATCGCTAGAATTTGAAAATACACAACCGGAGAAAATCTGCCACTTCCTTATAGAGCCCCTCCTCCAACACACACGAACGCGCACATGACCAATGAGGGCACGAGATAAGTTTGTGCACAGATGGAAGGCTGACAGGCAGGTAGGCCATCCAGTTATTTTAGCCGGGCCGGCTAAAATGATTGGTCGTGCTTTTTACAGTACTACGGCTTCCACAGATGACATTTTTTTATGGATTTTTTGTCAAAGCACTTAAGATATTCATTGCTATCGGGATGTTAAGAGCATTCCATGGAATATAACAAAAAGTGTATCTCGAGCCGGTTTCTCAAACTTACCTACCCTACCTTTAATGAGACCTTAAATTCACTCACAACTCGTAACATGTAGTCCTCCACAGTGTGAGTAGTCATTCTCTGAAGGGACAGGAATGTCGCATTTGTATTCGCTCTGGTCTTGTTCAGCAACTCCTATGGAGACAGTTACAAATGTCATGTGTTGTATGAAACACAAACACCATCGGCAGCACTTCTAAGAAAAGCTTTTTATCTTTAAGTATACCACTAGCTGTTCATTGGTCTTCGTATGCAGGGTGTCCTGGGTGATGGTGGCAGCAGGGTTGGAAGACTGGAAGACAGATATACATATAGTCAGCACACAGTTTTTAATGTAAAGAACCCCAGAGACAAGCGCATTCAGTTTCACTAAACAGAGCCCAGGACAGGATATGTAATGCTTTGCAGTGAGTTGCTCTTTACCTCGGCCTCGTACTCGGCCCACGCATCTTTGCGTTCTGCCTCACTGAGCTCCTCATCTTGTTTATGGTCCAGCAGAGATTCATGCTCGTGGAAAGACACTATGTGGTCTTTAGAGGTTTGTAACAGCTGTGTCAGGACCTTATCCTGAGAATCAGACACAAAAAGTCACTCAATACTGCACATTCATCCTGTACGCCATTGTCAGACAGCTGAGTATGATTTTAGCTTATAGAACCTGAAAATAAAACAGTCACCTTCGGCAAAACAGAGGTGCTTCTTTTGCTTTTTTTAGAGTTTGGGTGGTCCAGCAGGTCCGGCTCGAATGTGTAAAGTTCAGTCAGTTCAAACAGAGTGTAGTGCCTCTCGATCTGCTGCTGATCCACCACTCGATAGGACAAAGACTGCTTGGTCACCTGACGATCATAGATCTTCTCCTCCATGGTGCCCTGAAGACAAAATGGCCGTCATCATTAACGGGACTGAAAGGGTTTTAGGAAGTGAAACACAGTAGCTCTAAGAGATCTGTGTCCATAAGACATTGCTTTGAGCAGTGATCACAAAAAACATTAACCGTTCCTGTATTTCTCAATTAACGCAAAAATAAGGTCAAAGTAAGAACTTTGTGCTACACACATTTAACAAATGTATGTAGCAGCAGAGCCTCTTTGCTCATATGATCCCTACATGTATCTGACAGTTCAGCTCAAGACACTAAACATTTGGACCCAAAAACATCCAATGCTACTCTAACTTGGTTATTTTTTGTTATCAGGTGATAGCTGTAGTCCTGGCAAAATTCATGCTTTGTAAAACTTGTTATAAATGACAATATAACCTTTAAAGAAGAGGGAAAAACAATGGAGAATTAGAAAAAGAAGGAGACAACATGAGACAAAACTAAAATGAAGCATTCCTTCAGTAATTCAGGGTTGACAGTAAATGTATTTTAAATGTTGCAGTGACTTTGTTAAATAGTCACACCAGTTAATAACTAGACTGAACAAATGTCCTCCCACGTTTATCAAAACCTTAACTTTTATATTTAAACAAAGACCAGTGAGCCTACCTGAGCCAGGAAGCGGTACACAAA